TGTTTACTGGATTAGGATACCATTTGCTGCTCCACTTTCATTCGTACCGTACCGACGTTAGTAATGATGATCGAGGTTAGGCCGAAAATTCAATCGCTAAAATCTCGGTTCAGAATGGATCAATTTGACTGAAAGTTTTAGCAAATTCCATTTACATTATCTAGTTTTCGACATTTATAGTAATTTTATCTAAATTATTAATTAACTCATCCAGACCATAATCAACTCTCGATGTCATCGCTAGCTTGCGATATTTACTGGATTAGGATCCGATTTGTTGCTCAACTTTCATTCATGATTTAATCATGAAATAGATAATCGAGACAATAAGGATCGAGGCTAGGCCGAAAATTTAATCGCTAAATTCTCGGTGCAGAGTGGATCAAGTTGACTGAAATTTGCAGCAAATTGCCTTTACATTATCTAATTTTTATACGCCCACATTTTCATGTGGACGTATATTGCCGTCGCCCCTGTCCGTCCGTCCGTCTACAATTGTTTGTGGACACTCTACAGATCACAATTCTTATCCGATTTTGACGAAACTTGAAATATAGGTTTATATCCAAAAGATCTCGGTTGCTTTCGATATTGGCATGTATCGGACCGAAACTTCATGGATTATGTCCCCTGATTGTACAAAAAATCACGATTTTGTTGAAACTTGAAATGTAAGTTTATACCCTAAATATCTCGGCTCCTTTCGATATTCGCGCATATCGGATCGTAACTTCCTGAATTATGGCCCCTGATTGTACGAAAAATCGCGTTTTTAGCTTGTGGACCCTATAAAGGTCATAATTTTTATCCGATTGCAAAAACCGTTTTAGTATATCACCGTTACACCCTAAGGAGGGTTGAGTTCGAATTTCGTGAAAATCGGCCCAAAACTGACAGACAAAATGGCCGTCCCCCGTTCTCAAATTCTGATTTTGATGAAACTTGAAATGTAAGTTTATAACCCAAAGATCTCGGTTCCTTTCGATATTCGCACATATTGGACCGTAACTTCCTGGATGGTCCCTGATTGTACGAAAAATCACGTTTTTAGATTGTGGACCCTATAGAGGTCATAATTTTTATCCGATTTAAAAAAACGTTTGAATATATCACCGTTACACCTTAAGGATGGTTGAGTTCGAAATTCGTAAAAATAGGACCAAAACTGACAGACAAAATGGCCGCCCCTCGTACTCAAATAGCGTAAAAATAAGGTATGAATGTTGTGGCCGCCCCTCGTACTCAAATAGCGTAAAAATAAGGTATATGAATGCTGTTGACCCTCTAGAGGTGGCAATTTTCTTCTAATTTTGATGAAACTTGAAATCTAAGTTGTGGCCGCCCCTCGTACTCAAATAGCGTAAAAATAAGGTATATGAATGTTGTGGACCCTCTAGGGGTGGCAATTTTCTTCTAATTTTGATGAGGGGATCACGGTGGCTAAGTGGGTAAGGCGCTGGCTCGCTAGCCTGGAGGTCGGGTGTTCGATCCCAGCATTGGCCGAGAAAGTTCATCCAGATTTTCCGGCGTGGTTTCCCCTTGTCAGTGATGCAGGACGGAGGGCTTGACAAGGACAGCAGTCTAGTCATTCGGATGAGACGAAAAACCGAGGTCCCGTGTACACATTGGCGTGCACGTAAAAGATCCCTTGACAGTTGGAATTCGATATAAGAGTAGGCCGTAGTGCCGTTGTCCGGGCAAAATTTCCCTCATAGCACACTGTATGGCGTATGCCCGTCTTCATTAGCCCAGTTCGGAGCAAAACAGTAGGACGTTAAATTTCATTTCATTTCATTTCATTTCTAATTTTGATGAAACTTGAAATGTAAGTTTATAACCCATTGATCATGGTTCCTTTCGATATTTGCGCATATCGGATCGTAACTTCCTGAATTATGGCCCCTGATTGTACGAAAAATCGCTTTTTGTTTAGCTTGTTCTCTATCCATCTCTTGCAAAATGTGGGCGTGTCCTGCCTGGAAGCCGCTGGTTAACTATTATAGTGAGAACTGCCAGTTTTTTTTATCTAATCTCCCATAATGTATCTTAACTCCCAGTGATTCAGTTTAAATAAATGATACGAAATGGGGTATACACTGTTCTGTCCCGACTGGGGTAATGAAGACGGGTATACGCCATACAATGTCCTATGAGGGAAATTTTGCCCGGACAGCGACGCGACGGCTATTCGGTACAAATACATGACTACAGTAATCTATTTCACAACATAACATATTCATACACCGTTCTATGATATCATAATGGCGAATGATTAGTTAACTTTGAAATTCCTTTGAATACTAGTGTCGACACACACTGATCAGCAGTGAATATTCGCTAGGCCGCTACAATCACTGATAAGGATGACATCAATGCGACTTAATGAGCAACAAATATTAACTTTTTTCCTCCGACAAATTAAATTCTAAAACATTTTTTTTTTATGTATTAGAAAAATAAATAAAGACGTTTGCCGTAAAAATTAATTCCTATTTAGTGTAAATGGGTATTAAAATGATTAAAAGACAGCATTCTTCCCGAATCAGTCACGTCTCATGTAAACAATGCACGTGCCATTGAAAAAATGATTGACGCCGCGTGATGAGACGTTACGTGTTGAAGGTAGTCATCTTTTACAGAGATATTAGAATACTTTCATAATCCTTTGTAGATTGGTGTCTACAATGGCCACCAGTTCGTTCAGATGTTAAAGGTCACCGGAAAAGCATCATTTTTTTTTTAAATAATGCAAGTAATTATGTCAACATATCCTTTCCATATGTATAACCCGAACCCGAATGTCAATATTACCTACAACAGGTAAATTTTAACATTAGTAATTTCCGCCGTTCTCCGTGGAACACGTCATGGTTTTGAGTTTTTTCGCCCTTCGCAAATGCGGAAAAAAATTACGCGGTTTCAATGTGGTTTTCAACATTGTAATCATAACCATAATGCCGAACCAGTGTCAAACATATACCGTGGGTCAGATATGGTAGAAATCGACTCTAGCATGCTGCACACCCGGTGGCACTGGGAGGGACTGTCACCCCACCCCTTCCCCGCATACATATATAAATATTCTTTTGGGGAACGGACGGGATCCTGCTCCTCATGCAAAATCATGTGTCACGACGTCCCTGGTCTGTACCGAGAAGAAATCAACACTTTAAGAAATGATGAATGGGAATGAAATAAAATGAAATGAGATTTAACGTCCTACTCTTCTGCTCCTATACTGGGCAAATGAAATGAAATGAAATGAGGTTTAACGTCCTACTGTTCTGCTCCGACTGGGCTAATGAAGACGGGCATACGCCATACAGTGTGCTATTAGGGAAATTTTGCCCGGACAGCTGCACTATTACGGATATATCCAATTCCAACTGCCACCAAGGGATCTTTTACGTGCACGCCAATGTGTACACGACTAGACAGCTGTGGGGGGGAGCGCCAGAAAATCTGGATGAACTTTCTCCGCCAATGCAGTATTGCAGGCTAGCGAGCCAGCGTCTTACCCACTTAGCCACCGTGACCCCGGATGTGAAAGTAAGCTATAGCATATATAAGTTCTTATTTTATGATCAGTAGTGGAATACCGCGTTTTATCAGTGAAATAAAAGTGTTATTCCACTGGCTAGTTGTTTTTACCTAAAATGATTGTAAAATCATAAAATAAATAGAACATTTGTCGTTTTGTCGTGAATAACATATTTTATTTCATCTCTAAGCAAGAAAACGTTTATATTTTCACTCATGCTACGCATTCGTGAAAATATAAGTTTTCTTGCTTCTCGATGAAATAAAATATGTTATTCACTCTAAAACGACAAATATCCTCTATTTCTTCCTTGTTCTTGTTCAACTGAAAAGAAACCAATTAACTTAAGAAAAGAGGAAACGTCTGTCGTTAGATTTCCATATTTATTTATGTCAGCGTCCTTTACATTGGGTCATCATATATCTATCTTCATTTTCAAGTTATTGTATTACAACTCAAAATTATCAAGGCCAGTGTGTTTTCTATAGAGCACGTGGTAGGCTAATTATGTTGGAATGATTTTTCTACGTCCATGTCAGCATTTTATTTGTGTAAAACTTGAGACTGGAAAACGTGCATTTTCATACTCAGTGCCGTTTCTTTGGAATCAGCCCCCATTACACATACGTCTAGAGTCATCTTTTTCGGTTTTTAAGAACAAACTGAAAACATTCCTTTTTGAAAGTCCTTTGTGATACTGACATCGAGAACAAATCTAGTGAACTCGAAGCGCATTAGAAACTGTGGAAGCAGTGTTTATGCGCTATACAAATACTGATATTATTATTATTATTATTTTAACCAAAAGAAGAAATATTGACAATAAACCTATTTAAATATACATTATGCAAGAACTAAATCTGCCTAGTGCAGGTCTTTCTTTAGGCCTAAAATGTTATCTAAATCATTAATCAGACATTAATTAACTTATCCAGACCATAATCAACTCTCGATACCATCGATCGGGTGGCTCCGATTTCAAGTAGGTTAAAACGGTTCGGCCATTTAATTTTAAAATGGAGATTAAAGTAATTTGAATTATAATTTTCAATATATTCATTTTGTATTATGTTTTTTTGAACTATTATTGTAAGAACGTCTTTTTTTTTATCTAAATCTTACATAATGTATCTTTAAAGAAGCAATAGCGATTGGGAGGAAGGGAATTTAGAAAAAAAAGGGGGTCATCGCTATGACACTATTACTATTATGTATTTCCTAGTTCATTGAGTCTATAAGATCGGTGAATTAAAACTCAAAAAGGGAAATGGGCCTAATGAGCTCAAGGAAGGAAGGAAGGAAGGAACTAAATGCCAATATGAACTATATACATGTAATACTATTATTTATTTCGAAGGAATAAAAAACGTAAGCGGAGAACAAAATGCAAAAATATTATCAACATGCCAATAAATTACGTAGTAAGCCGTTTCAAAACACCGAAACAGAATTCTTTCTTATGGAAACCTTCTTTAAATTCTGACAGAGTTATGGCGCCATCCTTATTGGTATCCATTAACGACATCATGCACTCTGCCATTTTGTCAACTTCTTTTTTGTCTTTATATTTGCTCCCACATTCTACATTACAGATTATCTGAAATTAGAATAAAACAAGGGAGGTTACTTTTATGCTAATATATACATTTAATATTCACAAGGACAACTGTCTAGTCCTTCGGATGAGACGAAAAACCGAGGTCCCGTGTAAACATTGGAATGCACGTAAAAGATCCCTTGGCAGTTGGAATTCGATATAAGAGTAGGCGATGGTGCCGCTGCCCGGGCAAAATTTCCCTCATAGCACACTGTATGGCGTATGCCCGTCTTCATTAGCCCAGTATAGGAGCAGAACAGTAGGACGTTAAACCCCATTTCATTTCATTTCATTTAATATTCACATAAAATACAACAATCTGTTAGTACCATGGAATCTACTTTTCAGCATCAAAAGGTCTGCCATTGAGTCAACTGGCGTGGTTTCGATTCCCCGGTTGTACAAGATACAACGCGCACGCGGTAACCATTCGCCCCCCCCCCCCCCCCCCACCACTAAATATTTAGCGTGGAATAAGTCGTGAAAATAATTTGATGTTTTAGCGAAAATGCAAATGACACATCCAGCCTTAAAGGTGCGAGATGAGAATAGACAAAGCGGAATGATTCAGTATTTAGACCCTCGGTTTTCCGTTTTATTTTATGAAATAAATATGTGCACAGTACTCACCCTAAGCATTTTTTTTAATTCGCCACCCGAAATTGTACCATCTTTATTGACGTCATAGAACCAGAAGGCCCAATCTATCTTCATATTAACATCATCACTAGTCAGGCATGTCATCGCTAAAACAAATTCTTTGAAATCCACCATTCCGTTGGAATCGCGATCCATTGTTCGAAATACATCACGTGCAAATGCACCTGCATCACCGCTCGTGAAAGATTCCTGATACTGTTTAACCAAATCACTCTGAGTAAAATAATCACGACGACAACTTGTGTGCATGAAATTATCGAGCCATTTATCGATATCAGATAAACTAAGTACCCCCGAGTCCTTTAATTCTTCTATTGTCATTGGTCCGGGCTTGCTGGAATCCTGGCCCATATTTTTTCTGAAATGAAATGGAATGGGGTTTAACGTCCTAGTGTTCTGCACCAACCCGGATAACGAAGACAGCCCCACATCTCTTGAATGGCGAATGCTAATTGACTTGTAAGCCGGTTGGGGAGGTTCGGAAATTTCCGGAGTCCACAATCGCCGCTTTATATCCCCCCCCCCACCCTAATCCAAAACATTTTTGTATTTTTCTATGAAATCTTTTAAATTTCGGATATGGTGTGTAGAATATGCATGGCTATAAAGAGATGCTATTTGTAGGCCGGTTGGGGGAGGTTCGGGAGTTTCCGGAGTCCACAATGACCGCTTTACTCACTTCGCCACCGTGGACCCATGGGAAGGAGTTTGTGGGTACTAATGGTAGACGCGGAGGCCCCTAAAGGAAGTTATCGGTAATGTTCTCAAGCTGTTTGGGAGTACGTATAGTTTCAATTTTTGATACTCAGGCTATACTCTAATAACCAACATTTCCTCGCATCGCAGGTGAGGGGGGGGGGGGCTAGAGGGTGTCACCTCATGGGGACGGGCTCAGGGGCCTTCGATACACAGTCCTTTCCTGTGTTGTCCGGTAGTTAAACATTTTCAGATCCCAATATCATGTATTTAGAGCTTAAGTTAAAAGATCCCCATCACCATTTTTATAAATCGGCTTCATGTCTTTCATGGATATAAACAGTAATTACCTACACCAATAATGTGTAGTCTAAAATTCTGTAATAACTTACATTTAAAAAGAATCATTTAGACTTCATGTCATAGATATATAAAACCTGATTATAACTTATAGAATATAACTTATAGAATATAATAATAACACGTTGTCGGCAATATTTCCCCGTATTATCACAATGTCTAGCCTAATATTCTGGAATAATTTACATTTAAAGAGAATCATTTAGACTCCATGTCATAGCTATATAAAACATTACATACCTGATTATAACTTATAGAATATAACGTAGAAGAATAACACGTTGTCGGCAATATTTCCACGTATTATCACATCTAATCTTCTCCATTGACTGATGATAGACTGACGACTGGTTAATAGCTTGTTTGATAATGAGGAGGTTTATAAGCAGGAAATACTTATATAGATTGGTTAAAGATGGGTTCCCAGAAAAGGTATTTATCGGGTGGTTATTTCCAATAAAAGGGTGGTAATTGTGGTATATATGGAAAGTAGAGATATTCAATCTTACTAGAAAAATACTGGATTCCCCGCAAAACACTCCATGGAGCGTATACAATGTAAGGGTTTCCCTAATCAACAGCCCGAATTTCTGCACGCGTGATGTCAAAGGTCACACGCGAACATTGAGCGCTTGATGTACAAGTTGATAAACTTTATGAAGCGTTAGTCGTACAACACTTTTTGAGACAAAAATGACGGAAAAAGACGCGGGTAGTGGATAATCCGAGTATTTAATTAGGATTCGATATTTGTAATAAATAGTAAGCGATTAAATACAAAATCGTCTTTGTCCGGTGGCTGAAGGGGGGGGGGGAATCGCCACCCGAGCTGTGAATATATGAGACCAAGTTTTTCTAGACCAGTTTTTTGCGTCGATTCCGAATCTGGGTGGTGATCAGGCGTTTGAGGGGGTGTTTTCAAGATATGGGGGTTCCAATGTCTACAATTGGGGGAAAATGTGATTATACTGACATAAATGGTGACCATGCCAGGACTGTCCATCTCTAAATAAGTGTATATGATGCCCTTGGACAATTGTTTTGATTTGTGGCGAGACTGGTGGGTGGTTGCAGGTGTGCTTGTGTGGAGGGGGGGGGGCGTAAATTGGCGGGAAATGAATTCACGTTGATTTAAATGATGATTTTCTTAGAACTTGATGGAACATCTCTATAAATATGTGTATAAGGTTCCCATTGTGTGGGGGGGGGGGGGCGGGGATGGGTGCGCATGGGGGGGGGGGCAACATGTATTTTTTGGCCAGAAATCATTTGGTTCAATATTGACCTTAGAAGTGGTTTGTCGTTAGCTTTTCATTCAGTACCTATATTTGGTCATTCAAAATATTAAATTATGATGGTACTTTTCAAGAGATCTGGAAATATATATCAAAAACACAGTAAATCAGAGACATGTTTAGATGTTAGTTTATTCTTAGTCTTCATCAGGAGATTCAAAATAAAAAGTTCATAATATGAGCGAGATAAATATCTTCTTGGTTGCTTACCAACAGCTCGCATATGTCCTTTGGATGTGCTTCAGATACAAGTTTACATTGTAAATCTTCATTCCAGCCATGTTATTTTTTCACCCAGAAAATCTTTCTCTTAGCGTCATCTACTGATGTAAGTCGCCTTCCGCAATATTTTCTACCTTTGCCCGTCTCATTGTCGATCAAAATGTGTATTTTTGGATTATCGTTTGCGAGGAAAACGATTTGGATGTCCATTTCGCCCGAGCAAAAACACAAAATACAATTTGTTTCAGCTCCTCCATTAATTTGCAATGCGAAGAAGAGTAGGTAAGCTATTTTGGTGTCCTCGTGGTTTGTTCGCAGTTCTAGGATATTCTAGACACTTTAATACTAATCTGGATATAAGTGTCTAGGAATATCTCGGCCTGTATGCTTTCAGTGGTAATGACTATCTCTTTTTCTTTTATAAGATAATTCCAACTTTCTAACAATTTTTAAAGAGGTGGGACAGGCAAATGGTGTTTCTGATGATGTAATTACTGGAATAGAAATAATTGTTTGTGCCATGAGGAATTTTAATTGTTTCTTTCTTTATTACCATCTTGCCTGTGTAGTCTTTTGCTGCACATTAAATGATCGAACAAGATGACCTTGCGATACAATACAAGGCTGGAATGAAGATTTACTATGCGGATGAGTATCTGAAGCATATCCAAAGGATATAATGCGAGCTGTTGATCACCCATAAAGAAGATATTTATCCCGCTCATATTATGAACTTTGATTTTGAATCTTCTGATGAAGAATATAAGAATAAACTAACATCTAAACGTGTCTCTTCTTTACTGTTTTTTTTTTCATGTGGATTTCCAGATCTCTTGAAAAGTACGGTTATAATCAATCTGATTAAAATACAGATCTATATTTCGTTTCGTTTTTTTTTTTTATACTTTCGATGACCTACACTACATGAAGATCTGACAGGTTGTAGTGGTGGGTGCCGTCAGAGGTCATACGAGTGGTTTTTGAGCCTATGACGTCAGACATTGATTAATCAACGAGCGTTGACAAGAACTCGCCGTAACAGACCGTTTCATTGGCAAATCCCTCACATTAACCAGAACGTGGCTTATATAACAACTCTTCCAGATCCTAGTGTTATGAAGACGAAATTTTGAACTATAAAAACGGAACGAAATAGGATCTCTGTTTTAATCAGATTGCATTATAATTTAATATTTTGAATGACGAAATTGGTACTGAACGAAAAAAAAGCTAACAAAAAGCCACTTTTCAGGTTAATTTTGAACCAAGTGGTTTCTGTCCCCAAAAATACATTTTGCCCCCCCACCCCCCATACAATGGGAATCTTATACACATATTTAGAGATGTGCAGCGAAATTAAAAAGTAATGTTTTTATCAAGCTCCAAGAAAATCATCATTTAAATCAACGTGAACTCATTTCCCGCCAATTTTACTCCCCCTCTCCCCCTTCCACACACGCACACCGGCAACCCCCACAAATAAAAACAGTTGTCCAGGGGCATCATAAACACTATTTAGAGATGGACAGTCCTAGAAATTTATGTTTTATTAATATATAACATGATCATCATTTTGTCAACATAACGACATTTCCCCTCAACTGTAGACATTAGACCCCCATATCTCGAAAACGTCCCCTCAAACGCCTGATCACATTTTGCCCACACCGCCACCCCCATTAAATGGGAATTTATACACATATTTAGAGATGTGCAGCGGAATTAAAAAAAAGTATTGTTTTTATCAAGCTCTAAGAAAATCATCATTTAAATCAACGTGAACTCATTTCCCGCCAATTTTACCCCCCTCTCCCCCTTCCACACACGCACACCGGCAACCCCCACAAATAAAAACAGTTGTCCAGGGGCATCATAAACACTATTTAGAGATGGACAGTCCTAGAAATTTATGTTTTATTAATATATAACATGATCATCATTTTGTCAACATGACCTGGTTTGATCGAATTTTTATATTCCTTCGCAATTACAATGTTTGAGAAGGATTTGAAGCAAAATTATGACAAATTAATTAGTTTGAATATGTTTTTAGTCCATATATACCATTAAATCACCCAGTTTGTACGCGGGAACCCATCTTTAAAGATATGTAAGATTTAGACAGACAGCTGGCCGTTCTTGTTATAATAGTTCAAAAATAGATAATGAAAAATGAATATATTGAAAATTTCATTCAAATTTCTTTATTCTGAGCGAAGTTATGGGTCTTAGTCGCGCTTATCTGTTCTGTCGTTAATTTTTTTTAATCTAGCCGGTGTTCTAATCCGTTTAAATCTCTGCCATCCGATGGTCTAAAGAGTTGATTATGGGCTTGTCATGTTAATAGATGTCTAAATAATAGTTTATAGAACACCTGAAGTCAAAATAGAGACCTGCAATAGGTAGATTTACGTAATGCATTTTTAATAATGTAGTTTATAACTACACTGTTAAAATTATATGTATATTTACAGTTATAAGTATAGTAAAAATACAGTGCAGGATTTGTCAAATCACATGGTTTGTTAACTTACATTTAAAACGATGTCGATGCATATGAATACAAGGCTTATGTAAAATTACATCAAATTTAATGTAGTAATACAACCATATGTTAGTTTACATTATTATATGGGCTGTATATTAACAGAAAGGCCGTTTGAAGTATTATTTTTACAGAAAATTGTAAATGGCGATGCATATGGATAGAAGGCTTATGTAAAATTATATCAAATTTAATGTAGTAATACAACCATATGTTAGTTTACATTATATGAGCTGTATATTAACAAAAATGCCGTTTGAAGTATTATTTTTACAGAAAACTGTAAATTTACTGTCAAATAGTGGTCACATCGGTTATTTCCCCTTTGACCACATATCGAATTTTGCGCAAAATATTGAATGTTCTGTCAGTCACTTTAGTCCATTTTAGAGAAATAGTTTATTCAAAATCTGAATGTACCGAACTGGCTAATAAAGACATACATATGCCATACATTGAGTTGTGTGGGCCATTTTGCTTGGACGGTGTCATGCCACCTATACTCTTCCAGTGTAAGGAGCAGAACAGTAGCACTTTAAACCCCATTTCATTTAATTGCTTTATTGTCTGCGATATCACCTCGGTGGAAGCGGGCGTAATATACAAATAATTCACACAATTTCTTTACATTATCGAATGTTGTGTTACGTGCTCTGCTGAAAGTTCCGCAAAACTGTCTGTGTTCGCCAGGATAGAACCTAGGACTAATTAGCCAAGCGGGGACAAACACATTCCTTTTAGTTACATAATATATAATTCTACAATAGTTATGAGGTATTGATACATAAACTCTGTCAAAATACACAACATTCTTTTGTATTAAATGTTATTGTACAAATTTATGTAAATTAACATCATGATAATTTTACATGTACTCCAATTACAGATATGTAATTTTACCTTGGATGTATAATAGCTAGAGGTAAATATACATTACAGACTGTGAAATAACATGCAATGTTAAAATACAGTTATAACGATGGCAATATTTCTGCCAGTTAAAAAAGGGTAAAAATACATAATAATGTATAATAATGTTAACAGTGTATAGGTACTCTGTCTTTCAGACATTCACCCCCCCCCCCCTCTCTCTCTCTCTCTCTCTCTCTCTCTGTTGTCCCTTTACTGGATTTATATGGTTATTTAGGCCAGGCTTGTCAAGGAAGTATATTATGTGTGGTAATTTCCATTGTATTACGCGTCCCATTTTCATTTCAAAGAATTTAAAGGAGCTAAATCTCTAACTCAATATTTTCCAAATTAAAAACACGAATTAAAATTCAATAGTGGTCCATTTCAATCAATATTGTTGTTGTTATTTTTACTTGAAAATATGGGATCCCTGCATTGGCCGAGAAAGTTCATCCTGATTTTCCGACGCGGTTTCCCCTTGTCAGTGGTGCAGAACGGAGGGCCTGACAAGAACAGCTGTCTAGTCCTTCGGATGAGACGAAAAACCGAGGTCCCGTGTATACATTAGAATGCACGTAAAAGATCCCTTGGCAGTTGGAATTCGATATAAGAGTAGGCGATAGTGCCGCTGCCCGGGCAAAATTTCCCTCATAGCACTCTGTATGGCGTATGCCCGTCTTCATTAGCCCAGGATAGGAGCAGAACAGTAAGACGTTAAACCCCATTTCACTTCACTTCACTTGAAAATATGGGATCCTAATACATGTATAATAAACATTTTAAAATCAGTACACAGGTAGTGTATTTCTATGATTTCGGGTGCCATTTGTAATCAACAAAGAAACACATATCCTATAAGACAATTCAGACGAAAACAGTAATGGCTGATTCACAAACGACAAAATAATAATAAATAAAAACCGTGTAGAATGAACATAATCGTTAGAAATTACAATAAAGATTTTAAAAAATGAATTTAATTCACTTTATATACGTTCATGTTATATAAATGTATGTGCCTTTAGGTCCATTTCGTAAAGAATAGGGCTATGTTCCTTTAAAAAAAAATGATAAAAAATAAAATGAAATGGGGTTTAATGTCTTATAACTCTTCTGCTCCGACTATGTTAATGAATTGTTTCAATGGCATTTAGTAATTGAACTGGAGTATACAGGTCACAATTCTATGGAATACAATTACTGCGTATTACTGAGCCAACGCAGGGATCAAACACAAGACCTCCAGGTTAGCGAGCCAACGTCCTACTCACTGAGCCACCGTGGCTCCCTAAAAAAGAAAGGAAATGTAATCATAATGAGTTTGTCGTGCTACCAATTGACATTTTATTCAGTGTAAATATCAATTTGGATTGCGGAAGAAGTTAGGCCTATGTCTACAATATCTTGAATTTCCCCGGGAAAGTTTAAAAGTTGCTATATCCTAGTGTTTTTCTTAGTAGGGGGTTGGGTAGCCGAATGCTTAACGTGTCCGCGTTGCATCATTAGGTCTGTTCAGGTCAAGTGGCGTGTTTTCGTTTCCCGGCTTGTACATGAGAACGAGTAGGTTTTCCGGGTCTTCAGACTTTCCCCCACTGCTAAAGACCCCAATGTAACGTGCAAGAGAATTATTGAAATAAAATTGAACCATATGTTAGTCCCGAAATGACCTGGCCTGGTTTGTGTCGAGTGGATGTTAAAGTCCCATTTCTCTCTCTCTCCCTCTCTCTCTGTTTATTTTGAACAATGCAAAATTACAATAATGTGGGTTGTCAAAATATGCATTTTGCCAAACCAAGCCGGGGTTCGTATGATTTAACGCATTTGCTTTAGTTCACAAGTGCATACATTGGACCATTCAGATACCCACCTTCCATTCTCACTTCTGAACGCAAATGTGTACCTAACCCATAGATATACTTCTTCTATACTATGAATGGGGTCGTCGTTTGGGATCTGAAAGGGGAGAGAGAGAGAGAGATATGGGGTTTAACGTCCACTCGACACAAACTAGGTCATTTCGGGACTAACATGGTTTAATTTTATTTACATAATTCGCTTGCGCGTAGGGGTCTTTAGCAGTGGGAGGAAACCGGAGGACCCGGAGAAAACCCACGAAGTTGGACAGGCGGATCTGAAAGGATGTAAATCAGGAAAGAAATGGGGTTTAACGTTCCACTTTTCAGCACCAACTGGGCTAAACAAAACGGGCATATGCCACGTGTATGGACAACGGCGTTTCCACCTGTATATATGGAGCCACGGTGGCTAGGTGGTTAAGACACTGGCTCATGCACTAGCCTGGAGGTCGGGTGTTCGATCCCTGCATTGGCCGAGAAAGTTCATCGGGATTTTCCGACGTGGTTTCCCCTTGTCAGTGGTGCAGAACGGAGGACCTGATGACAAAGACAGCTGTCTAGTCCTTCGGATGAACGAAAAATTGAGGTCCCGTGTATACATTGGCGTGCACGTAAAAGATCCCTTGGCAGTTGGCATTCGATATAAGAGTAGGCCACAGCGCCGCTGCCTGGGCAAAATTCCCCTCATAGCACACTGTATGGCGTATGCCCGTCTTCATTAGCCCAGTTTAGGAGCAGAACAGTAGGACGTTAAACCCCATTTCATTTCGCACATATAGCCTAAGCATATCCTGGTCAATGGGTTACTAAATCAATAGTGTAAGAGTACTCTTCGGGTATACATTGGAATGCACGTAAAAGATCCTTTGGCATAAGAGTAGGCGGTAGTGCCGCTGCCCGGGCAAAATTTCCCTCATAGCACACTGTATGGCGTATGCCCGTCTTCATTAGCCCAGTATAGGAGCAGAACAGTAGGACGTTAAACCCCATTTCATTTCATTCCACCTGTATACTCTTTATCAAAATCCAATATGTTCTTTTACATGCACGGAAACGTGTATACCTTGGTTTTTCGAACCATCCGAACGACTAGTCATTTTTCCCCCTTTTACTGGTGTATATTCTTGGAAAACCAGTGCTTAATTTCATTTATTTAATGCCGACTTTGATTTGCATTGGAGTGAACTTTCCGTAAACATCATAGCTGGAATTGGTTGTGAGCAGTTTCCAATAGAATTGTACGAAACTTGGTGGAACTATTTTAGGACTATTCATTTGAGCGCAAATATTAAGAATATTTCATTGTGGGTTAGGGTTAGCGTCATCTTCAATAGAAGGCTTGATGTCGCTTTAACTACGTACTTTTAGAAGGCTTGATGTCTCTTTAACTACGTACGTACATCTTATGTTGTGAAGCTCGCAGTCGTTGCCTCAGGAACATGGGTTAGCGTAAGCATTCGGGAGGGCTAGGTCACGGGTTAATGTTTGTATTTGCGCTAGCCCGTTTACATCTCGTGACCTTTGACCAACCTTGACGTAGGATTTATCAAACAGATCGAACCATGTGATGACACGCTTTATGTGCGTCATGGCATGGGTGTTTTTCCACTCCCTCTGGAGTTAATAACAAATTTCATATTCAGATTCGATTTCTGGCTCCGAGTTCTCAAAGCGTTCTCAGACTTAAGAATTTACAAAAAATTGTTGGCCTTATTTTTACTAAAACATAGAAGTTTATAAAACTTTTGTTGTTTTAATGTATCAAATACATCAATAAGAAACTATGTGCTAAGTTTTGTGTTTTTGGGTCAAAGATATTTCTCATAAACAGTGATTGAAAGTTGAGTAAATTCTTAACTTAGGCTAAGTCTGAGAATGCTTTGAACATTCTAGGTAAATTAGAAGGAGAGTTATTGTGTCCCAAAAAGTCTGACGGACAGACAGACAGATGGACAGACAGACGGACGAACCCATTTTAACAGTCCCCTGCTTTCTTCGAAAGGCGGGAGACAAAAATAATAGAATGTGAAATTAAACAAGATACGTAGTATAGTATTATAAAGCATCAACCATTTTATTTAATCAACCACGGAAGTTATTTACCCCCAGAATAAACATAACATAACAATTTCAAATATTAAAGATGCATTATGTAAGAGCTAATTCTGCCTATTGCGAGTCTTTATTTTGGCTAAAAATGTTATATGAACTATTATTTAGACCTTTATGAAAAACCCAAAATCATCTCTCTAGAGCATATAATTATGGATAATCCAGACTTAGTACTGCTGCTACGATAATAAACAATATACGCTTCATCTTAAAATACTCATAACTTCGCTCATAATAAAGTACTGTATTCATTTTTCATTATCTATGTTTGAACTGTCAGCTTTTTATCTAAATCTTACATAATGCATCTTAAAGATACATTATGGGAGATAAGATAATTCTGGCGGTTCTCACTATAAGAGTTAAAAACTAGATAATGTAAAGGTAATTTGCTGAAAATTTCAGTCATATTGATCCACTATGAGCCGAGAACGAAGCGGGTGAAATTTTTGCATAGTCTCGGTCATCATTACTAAAATCATTAATATAAACAGCATAGTCTTGATTATCCACTTTTTTTATTTAATTATCAATGGCCGTTAGCAGCATATAGGAATCTAATTCAGCCAACATCAAAGGCTAGCCTTGACATTGAGAGTTTATTACGGTCTGGATAAGTTAATTAATGTCTAATTGATAATTTAGATAACATTTCAGGCCTAAAAAAAGACTTGTAATAAGCAGATTTTTCTCTTGCATAATGTATGTTTAAATAAAGTTAACAGTTTTGGATAATTAGGAGTCTTGACAAGCTATATGTGTCTCTTTGGCATAACGCTTCAATACAATAAGTAGAGACCAGATTTCTCAGCGAATACCTTGCCCATAAGGCTTTACTGGACAGAGTTCGAACAAAAAAACGTTGTATTGGGCTAGGGTGACATGTGTGGGAACACAAGCACTATTAAGGCAATATATTCTAGCAGCACACAACAATATCAAGTTTTACAGAACATAACAAAGCACACAGCACACTGTTAAGGTGCAAACAGGTATGTTTTGATACACACTATTAGGGTGAAGTGTGCTAGCAAACAAGTATGTTTTGGTACACACTATTTGAGTGAAGTGTGCTAGCACACAGCAATGTTCCAATACATATTTGGGTGAAGTGTACTAGCACACAGCAATGTTCCAATACATATTTGGGTGAAGTGTGCTACCACACTGCAATGTTCCAATACATATTTTAAAACATGTTAAATTACAATTTCTAGCACACATTTACCTGAACATATTAAAAATCTGGGACATAAATGGTATCTAAAACATTCTTTTAAAAAGATACTACCCTATTTGACCAAATGAGCGCACATATGAGCCCCGAATTTCATGAAAATCATCTTTAGAATAAGCGCACAGTTTGAGTAGATAAAATGAATACCTGCTTCATTGGTCAAATAGAGAACTTTTGGGAATATTAATCTATTATCCTAGCTACTAAAAACATCACAATATACATATATATTATGCCAATAAATCTCAATTATTGAATTAATTAATCAATTAGTTAAAGCCACTGATCACCATTTGAGAGATTTTGATTAAAGAAATGACTGATTCATAACATTTGGTATCCTCAGCAGATGATATAAACAAGACAGAATCACCTATAAGTGTCAGATGTACTTCTTTTTAAACAATCTAATTAAAACACAGATCCTACATTGTTTCGTTTTTTATAGTTCAAAATTTTATTATTCTTGTCTGGATGATGTGAAGGATTAGCCAAAGAAAGTCTGTTCTGGCAAATTTTTGGCGTGAGGTGCACAGAACTGTTGGTAACCCAAACGCTGATTGGTTAATCAAATGTCTGATGGCATAGGGTCAAAAGTCACTCGTATGACACCTGACGCAACCTTCCGCTACAACCGGACAGATCTTCATGTAGTAGAGGCCATTAAAAGTATTAAAAAAAAACGAAATATAGATATGTATTTTAAGCAGATTATCTACTGTTTATTTTGTTTTTGTTGACTGTATTAAACTTTATCATTTCAATTTAGGGTGGATTAATCCCAGAAAAATTGTCCGAAAAATGCAAATGATGACTAGTGGTTTTAAATCACAGGAATTTATCAATTTTATAAAACAACTTTCCACTTTACAACATGGCAGAAAATAAAAGAATATATAATACAATTTGTTCTCTTTTTTTTAATTTTCATATAGATCCACATTCTCCTCAAGACAACATTGCAAAATTGATTAATTTTAGCAGGGTATTTTTACCATATGTAAATTAACATATAACAGTTACACATGTTATTGTGTGAACGACTAGTTGAAACAAGAGGTTTTTTGCCCCATCTGAATGACTAGAGGCTTTTCCTCACAAGGCCTAACTTGTGCACCACGGACCTGGTGACCTGGCCCCGAGTTCACAAAGCATTCTCGGATTTAAATTAAGGATTTACTCAACTTTCTATCACTGTTTATGAGTAATATCTTTTGATCCAGAAACACAAAACTCTGCACATAGTTTCTTATTGTGTTTATAAAGGGCAATATTTTAGTTAAAATAATGCGAACAATTTTGAGTAAATTCTTAACTTAAGTCTGAGTTATTTTGTATGGCCTTATATATGGCTCTGGTAGACATACTTAGTAATAAAGGGGAGATTGGGAGGATGAGATGTCTGTTTACTGGGGTTACCTTGTTATATACATATAAATGACTAGTTAATCTGGACATTATGTTATAACAGTAGGCTCTTGTCGTCCAGTCAGTTCTCGTAATTGTGATAACTTTAAAGCAATTTCAATTAGAGGTTTCAACACCACCTGAAATGGAAAAAACAAAAAAATAATTTTTACACAATAGTCTTAGAATTCAAACATTTAAACATACATTATGCAAGAGTTAAATCTGCCTATTGCAAGTCTTTCTTAAGGCCTGAAATGTTATATAAACTATTAATTAGACATTAATTAACTTAAGCATTGATCATTGGATAATCGAGACTATGTTTTTTTATGCCGACTTTAGTAATGATCGAGGCTAGGCTTAAAATTGAAAAGCTAATATCTCGGTTCAATGTAGAGCAATTTGAATGAAATTTTCAACATCTTCTATTTACGTTATCTATTTTTTAACTATCAGAGGGAGAACAGTTAACTCTTTGTCCAATCTCCCATAATGTATCCTTAATGTCCCCATCACAGAAATGTAATGGCTGTAATGATGTCCTACTTTTCTGCACCAACCGGGAAAATGAAGATGGATAAACATATGATATGCAGTGTGCTAAGGTGGGTGGGGGGATTTTGCCTGGAAAGCAAAAGTATGTGTTGCATGTATCAGTGTAATGTATATTTACCTGCGCATCAAGATGATGTTGTGATGTGTAATGTATATTTACCTGAGCATCAAGGTAGTGTTGTGGAGCCTGTAGCTTTTATTTTGAATAACAACCGTGACAATAGATTGCTATGACTTAGACATCCACACATACTATAAAGATTATCAAGTATCAACCACCTGGTGCATGTGGATCACAGCATGAGGTTATAGGAGGTTAATATTACTTCAATATCAACTCCTAGTGACTTTACAGAAAGTTGATACAGGTATAACCACTTTAAAAAGGTGTGTATTTACCTGAGCATCAAGATGATGTTGTGATGTATCAGCCTCATAGCCTTCTATATATAATCTAATGGTAGCCCCACTACTTCCAGTTCCGCTCAATCGAAATATTATCCTGGAATCGTCGGTGAATATAATCCTCACTCCCTAAAAGGGAACAAAACAAACTAATTTATAACACAATGTTTAGTAAGCTTATAGAGTCAAGCACATGGCACATGGCACACTTTACATGGCAGCCTCGCTGGCCTACCCTTAAAATGTCAAGGCTGGAACATTTTAGTCTGGAGTCCAGTACCCCGTCTGCTCAATCACCCTGTTGTCATGGTAAATTATTATCCTAAAAGTGTTACCCAATTATCAGGACTTCCTGAAAGAGTTACCTAATTATCAGGAATTCCTGAAAAAGTTACCCAATTATCAGGAATTCCTGATAGAGTTACCTAATTATCAGGAATTCCTGAAAAAGTTACCTAATTATCAGGAATTCCTGAGAGAGAGTTAAATAATTATTAGGATTCCTGAAATTATAAGAAATTCCTAAAATAGTTACAATATTATCAGGAATTCAAGAAAGAGTTACCTGATTATCAGAAATCCCGGATAGAGTTATCTGAATATCAGGATTTCCTGAAAGAGTTACCTGAATATCAGGAATTCCTGAAAGAGTTACTGATTATCAGGAATTCTGGAAACTATAGTTACCTGATTTTTGCTGACACTATTATCTATCGGATCTGTATAACAGAAGTTATCAGCTTTAGCTACGGTATAACTTTTACTACCTTCCGTAAACTTTTTACCAACTAACTCAGGTGAACTAATCACATTGTTTAAATTCTCCATCATTGTATTTGCTGGACCATTTTCACAATTCTCATAATCATATCTACAAAAACATCAATGAAATGAAATGAAACAGGATTTAATGTCCTACTGTTCTGCACCAAACGGGATAATCAAGGCTGATCTACAAAAACGCAAAACTAAATAATGTTGAAGACATTTTTGTTGCAATCAGAAAAAGAGACAACGAAAAATAAGGCCATTTTGTGAATAAATTTCGGTACAATTCAGGTTCTTTAGCAGTGGGAGGAAACAAAAGGGGAGAGAGAGAAATGGGGTTTAACGTCCACTCGACACAAACTAGGTCATTTTGGGACTAACATATGGTTTAATTCTATTTCAATAATTCGCTTGCGCGTCGGGGTCTTTAGCAGTGGGAGGAAACCGGAGGACCCGGAGAAAACCCATGAGGTTGGACAGGCGACCCGACACCTAGGAAACAAAAGGACCTGGAGAAAAGTCATGAGGTTAGGCAGACAACCCTACTTCTTGTCATGTACAACTGTAGAATCAAGAGGTGGGGTTTAACATCCACTCAACACAATCTTCGTCATTTCGGGACTAACATATGGTACAATTTTATTTCAATAGTTAACTTGCACATATGGACTCTTTAGCAGAGGGGGGGATCACGTGGCTAAGTGGGTAAGACGCTAGCTCGCTAGCCTGGAGGTCGGGTGTTCGATCCCTACATTGGCCGAGAAAGTTCATCCAGATTTTCCGGCGTGGTTCTCCCTTGTCAGTGATGCAGGACGGAGGGGCTGACAAGGAAAGCTGTCTAGTCGTTCGGATGGGACGAAAAACCGAGGTCCCCTGTGCACATTGGCGTGCATGTAAAAGATCCCTTGGCAGTTGGAATTCGATATAAGAGTAGGCCGTAGTGCCGCTGTCCGGGCAAAATTTCCCTCATAGCACACTGTATGGCGTATGCCCGTCTTCATTAGCCCAGGTTAGGAGCAGAACAGTAGGACGTTAAACTCCATTTCATTTCATTTCATTTCATTTCATTTCTTTAGCAGAGGAAGGAAAATGGAAAACAGGCTACCCTACTCAATGTAGGATATAATCGACTATTGAAATCAAAGATTGTTTTCAAACTGAAGATTGAAAGTCGTGGACTGAAGGGAATGTGATACAACACACAACTGTAACAAGGTCATTTTGGAACTGACATGAAAATTAATGGTAACGACTGACCCATATCTTTCTAGAATGAAAACCGTGTTGATAGACTTCTATTAATTATCTTTTGAATCAAGTGACAAACCCATTTGAATAGTTCGCTACTTTCCCAGGTAGGAAAGCCCTTTGGGGAATTGCTGTAATCTATTCCTACCCACCCGGTAAGTCCCCTACTTTCCAAGGGAGGGAAGCCCTATTGGGGAATCACTGTAATCTACTGCTACCCACCTGGTAAAGAAGTTTCTACCATATTGTTTCCAATGATCTTTAATAAGTTCTTCAACAGATTGTTTTGTGTGAGCTAAGATAGATAACCAAGCTAACACAGCCCACAAACCGTCCTTCTCACGAATATGATCCGATCCAGTTCCAAAACTTTCCTCTCCACACAACGACAATCTACCGGCATCCATTAAATTACCAAAAAACTTCCAGCCTGTCGGAACTTCGAAAAGTTCCTTTCCTTTAGCCTTGGCTACTCTGCAAATAAATTTATCATTATCAGAAGTGGGAAATAAATACACAGAATATGGTTCAGTTTTATTTCAATAATATGCTTGTGCATAGGGTTCTTGAGCAGTGGGAGGAAACTGGAGGACACAGAGAAAACCCACGAGGTTGGACAGGCGACCCTACTCCTAATCACATACAAGCAGGAAATTGAAACCATGACACTTGACTCAATGACAGACCTTATGATCTTAGACCATTCGGCCACCCAGCCCCCTGATTTAATTGGAGCAGTTAATTGATGTGAACTATGTAAAGACGTCAAAAATCTACTGAAGGAAGGAAGAATTTCTAAAACAATGGGTTTAACATCCACTCGACACAAACGCGGTAAATTTTGAAACCAACATCTCTATGTGTCTTTGGTAGTGGGAAGAAACTGGAGGACCCAGAGAAACCCCAAAAGGTTTGACAGGCATCCCTACTCCTTTTGTGTACAAGCGGGGGATCAAAACCACGCCAATGACTCAATATCTGACCATGTGATCTAACGAGCATACGTTAAACCATTCAGGCACTCAACACATCTGGGTTCAATCAGACATGATATTATAACCAAATTAGGCAATATATACACCTTGTTAGAAACTTCAATCTGACAATGTGATTAAAACTTACAGAAGATACCAACCTATCGACAGCACCTGCTGTTGGCATGCTACGGGCATAACCTTTGACCCCTGATTGTTTAAAGAAGGGAATACACTCCATATTATTAGCTATAACAGCGAGAGAATCGGACGGTGTTACAAAAAATGCATTCTGTCCTAAAATCATATTCCTGTCCTATAAAATAAAAATAAAGAACCAATTAATAATCTTTGACTCATTTTATACTTTCAGAAAATATCAAATTTCTAATGGCCTAATCCACACTATAATATATTAAGAGAGAGAGAAATGGGGTTTAACATCCACTCAACACAAACTAGGTCATTTCGGGACTAACATATGGTTCAATTTTATTTCATCAATTTGCTTGCACGTAGGCATCTTTATATATAGCTGTGGGAGGAAGCTGGAGAAAACCCACAAGGTTGGAACCTACTCCTTGTCACGTACATCCGGGGAATTGAAACCATGCCAGTTGACTCAATGACAGACCTTATGATACAGCGCGCACATGCTAACCATACGGCCATAAACAAACCTAAAATGTCAAACAGTACATTACATGTATCTCCTGGCTTGGATGCATTCGGAATAAAATGAGCCTGATTATAAGATAGTACCAAAGGTTACTGGCATATGATTCAATTATATTGTCTACTGATATTCTAGTTAACAGGCCAATATCCTTGCCCACCACTGACCCTATAGTAAAATCTGTATTCAGCAGCCACACAAGGCAATTTTTGTGACTTATTGTGACCGTTTACAAGGAGATGTCGCTTACAAGGAGATGTTGCTGAAAAGGAGTGACTGGCTGACTGCTCATACAGATTCTACTGAATTTTAGGTTTTTTATTTCAAACGGTGAAAACTTCTTGATTTCTCTAGGAAATAAAGAGAGAGAGAGAAATGGGGTTTAACGTCCACTTGACACAAACTTGGTCATTTCTTGACTGACATATGGTTTAATTTTATTTCAATAATTCGCTTGCGCGTAGAGGTCTATAGCAGTGGGAGGAAACCGGAGGACCCGGAGAAAACCCACGAGGTTGGACAGGCGACCCTACTCCTTGTCACGTACAACTGGGGATTCGAAACCACGCCAGTCGACTCAATAAAATAAAACCAAGTATGAACAATCCAAACCATAAGACAGAATTCGAAGTCCTAAAAAACGTTATAGGCAAAATAGTGTATTAAAGCAAAATAGTGTAATCAGCAAGCGCGCGCACGCTAACCATTCAGCCATCCAACCCCCCCCCCCCTCTAGGAAATAATAATAATAGTAATTATAAAATTGTACCCCATCACCATCAAACGCAGCTCCAAAACCATGTTGACCTTTTTTCAGTTCATTGACAAGGTCAGCAGCATAGGTTAAATTAGGGTCGGGATGATGTCCACCAAAATCTTCTAGTGGTACACAATTAACAGTGCTTGATTCAGGGGCACCTAACTCTCCACATACAATCTTCGTAACATAAGGACCCATAACTAAAACAAATTCAAAACGTGGACATAACTCACAATGGTGGAAGGGAGAATGGCAGTTTTAATTTTCTAATTTCTTGAATGTATAATTCAAATCTTTATGAAGGCAAACTCTACTATTTTAGATAGAGAGAGAGAGAAATAGGGTTTAACATTCACTTGACACAAAGTAGGTCATTTTGGAACTAACATATGGTTCAATTTTATTTCAATAATTCGCTTATGCATAGGATTCTTTAGCAATGGGAGGAAAGTGGAAGACTCTACGAAAACGCACAGGGCTGGACAAGCAAACCTGCTCCTTGTCACGTACAAGCGGGAAACCATGTCACTTCACTCAATGTCAGACCGTCTGATCCAATGCGCACGCTTTAACCATCAGCCACTGCAGCTCCATAAAACCGCCTACATAATATCAATATAACCAACAGATCTATATTGGAAGGTCGTGTCAGCTTTGGACCCTATGATGTCAGACATTGATTAATCAATCTGCGCTGACGTTTCTAGGGGTTTACCCACAGTTCCGTGCATTGCATGCCAAGAACACGCTGTAACAGAACATTTCATTGGCTAATCCCTCACTTCAACCAGTAAAGTAAAGACAAGTAAAATGAAATTTTGAACTATAAAAAAACGAAATGAAATAGGATCTGTGTTTTAACCAGATTGTATAACCAACTGACTTACCTCCATGCATGGAATTTAATAGAAGATTTAAAGGTGGACGCCCATCGGAACCAGACAACAAAGTTCTAATGGAGTTAAAATCAAAGATCTCCTTCATATAGTTACAGTAATCATCCACAGAATCGATGATATCAACGGTAAAAGTCTGGCCATTAACTTCAAAAGTATTCCTGCCAATAACTGAAAGATCTATTTTTAAATCCCGACATATGGGATATTCTGATATTGTTTTTGTTGCTTCAAAAATTGCATTGGTAACCGCCTCTGGTGCTGGACCTGAAATAAATGGAGAGAGGGAGAGAGAAATGAAATTTTATATTGTCTGCAATATCATTTATTGTTGAAGCAAGCACCAAGGGATTTTATGTCAACTCAAACATAAACTAGGTAATTCTAGGACTAAAGAGGGAGGAGAGAAATTGGGTTTAATGTTCACGCGACACAAACTAGATCATTTCGGGACCAACACACGTTTCAATTTTATTTCAATAATTCGCTTGCACGTAGGGGTCTTTAGCAGTGGGAGAAAACCGGAGGACCCAGAGAAAACCCATGAGATTGGACAGGCGACCCTACTCCTTGTCACGTACAACTGGGGAATCGAAACCAGGCCAGTTGACTGAATGACAGACCTTATGATACTGCGCGCACGCGCTGACCCTTCAGTCATCCACACTTCCCAATTCTGGGACTAACATACCCTTCTTACTAATACGCTTCACACACATATTTTTCGTAGTGGGAGGATACTGATCGAAGAGCCCAGAAAAAATGCAAGAGGTTAGGCTGGTGACCCTGGGAATTTGATCAAAACCAGGACGCCTGCATTGACAACCGATCTTATAGTCTAAAGTACATGTGTTAAACCATACTGTCACCCAAGACGCAACCCCCTAAAAATATGGATTGGCTTGTAGGTAGTGACAAAGGAAGAATTTAACATATAACTAATTATAATTTAGCGTAATTTAAATGTATACCGGTAATATGAGGTGGATGATTTCACCCAAGACAACATTTCTACTTCATAATTAAATTACAACTTTCAGGGGTACATAGATAAAACTTTGCTTTTCCCTACAAATGCAACTGACTGGAGTCATTTTCCTTGCCAGCTTCACAAGTGTGGCCGTGATAATTGGAGACACAATCCTTAAGCAGACGATTAGACACCGACAAATAACTAGCTCTTTTCCAAAAACCAAAACCCTAACCCTAGTTCAGAAAGAGAGATATATTCTATTTCAATTTTTCGCTTGATCTTAGGGGTCTTTAGCAGTGGGAGGAACGGTCCAGAAAGAGATATATATTCTATTTCAATTTTTCGCGTATGCGTAGGGGTCTATAGCAGTGGGAGGAAACAGGAGGTCACAGACAAAAACCATAAATATTGTCATGTATAAGCTGAGAAACTAAACCATGCTATTTGACTCGGTGGAAGACCTTATGATCTAAAACGCTTCTCAGTCCTCTTTAACTCTATTATTATTTTACCTCCATTAGCTGTGTTAAATTTGATACCAAAATCACCATTCGGTCCACCAGGATTGTGACTAGCTGTAAGTATGATACCTCCGTCAGTTTTATATTTCCTGATCACACAAGACAAGGCTGGTGTTGACATCAAACCATTTTGGCCAATCAGTAACCTTGATACCTTTCAAAAATATAAGAGCAACATAACTAAATAAAGAAACCATATACACCATAAAAATGTAAGTTTCTATTATCCCTGTCCACTAATATTTCAATATCTTATTCTAAATATATTACAAATTCATGTGAGTCTAGTGTACTTTATCTTATTCTAAAAATATTGCAGGTCTTCTTAGTCTTACAAGTCCTAGAGAGAGAGAGAGAAATGGGGTTTAACGTCCACTCGACACAAACTAGGTCATTTCGGGCCTAACATATGGTTTAATTTTTTATTTCAATAATTTGTTTGCGCGTAAGGGTCCTTAGCATTGAGAGGAAACCTGAGGACCCGGAGAAAACCCACGAGGTTGGCTTACAAGTCCTATATACCATGTATTCCCAATCCGATTATAATATATAATATATATCTATATTTCGTTCCGTTTTTTTTGTACTTTCGATGGCCTACAACACATGAAGATCTGACCAGAAATGAAATGAAATGAAATGGGGTTTACTGTCCTACTGTTCTGCTCCTATACTGGGCTAATGAAGACAGGCATACGCCATACAGTGTGCTATGAGGGAAATTTTGCCCGGGCAGCGGCACTATCGCCTACTATTATATCGAATTCCAACTACCAGGGGATCTTTTACGTGCATTCCAATATATACATGGGACCTCAGTTTTTCATCTCATCCAATGGACTAGACAGCTGTCCTTGTCAGGCCCTCCATCCTGCATCACTGACAAGGGTGAACCACGCCGAAAAATCTGGATGAACTTTCTCGGCCAATGCAGGGATCGAACACCCGACCTCCAGGCTAGCGAGCCAGCGTCTTACCCACTTAGCCATGAGATCCCCGAAGATCTGACCAGTTGTAGTGGAAGGTCACGTCAGGTGTCATAAGAGCAGCTTTTGACCTTATGACGTCAGACATTGATTAATCAATCAGCGTTGAAGTTTTTAGTGGTTTACCCACAGTTCCGTTCAACTCATGCCAAAAACACCCTGTAACAGACCGTTTCATTGGTTCCCTTACATCATCTAGAACGCGTGTTATATAACAATTCTTCCAGATCCTAGTAAAGACAAGTAAAACGAAATTTTGAACTATAAGAAACGAAACGAAATAGGATCTGTGTTTTAATCAGATTGGTTAAATTCCCCTCCTCTCCCATCACATCAATTACAGGTTACAAAAGCTGTCCCAGATCGTGTGAAATGAATTTAAACTAAGCCATCGACTATCGACCTTTTTTTTATCCTGACCTTAGCTACATGTAGCACTTGAATATATTCATTCTGTAATCTTATTATGTACTGTATGTAATTCAATCCTTTACATACATGTAAATGTACACTGCATCATGTTGATTTATATTAGGTTCATTTGAATGAGGCATGATTTAAACTGAGGTACATAATGAAAATCTGGATATAGGGTACGTGCACAGGAAATGGACTTTAACCTCCCTTTCTGCCCCAACCAGGCTAGTGATCGATCAAGAGGGGGCATATGCCAAGCAGTGCCACAGGAAATTTACTTGGTCACAGTGGCGCCAATTCAAATTCCAACTGTCAACAAAGGCTTCTTTTATAGTGCATGCATGCAAAACACTGCTAGGCCATCTGCCCTACAAAACTGTCAAGGAGAAAACATTCTGAAAAATCCTTAAGAACTTTAACAGTGAGAGAGAGAGATAGAGAGAGATATGGGGTTTAACCATTCAGCCATCCAACCTCCTTTGTTAAACAGAGGGTCCCAGAACTGATACAGGTGTTGACTGAGAAAGTTCCATGGGATGTTTTTAGTGCAGTTTCTCCTTGTTAATAGTGCAGCTATATTTGGAGGGTTTGGCAAGGAAAAGTATCTTGTTGTTTGAATGGGACAAAAAACTATGGTTCTATGTACAAAATTAACTGAAAAATAAGTGTTCAGGATGGGGCCTTAGAAAATGCTTTATTCATTTTACATTGTGCTTGGCCAGTTCTATTTTTAACAAGAACTAAGGAATTTTTTTTCTCACCCGTTTGGGAGGGAGTCATAGGGGCTCATTGAGTAAGCCCTTGGAAGGTCCTGTGTAACTCAATCCCTGCGTTAGCCGAGAAAGTTCATCTAGATTTTCCGGCGTGGTCCCCCCTTGTCAGTGGTGCAGGACAGAGGGCCTGGCAAGGTAAACTCATAGTCGTTCGGATGGTACAAAAAAACAAGATCCCGTGTAGCCTCCACATTCATGACACTGGCGTGCACTTAAAATTTCCCTTAGCACACTGTATGCTAGCCGTCTTCATTAGCCCAGTGCGATCAGAACAGTAGGACTTTAAACCCAACACATGTTTGGGAGTTTGGGTCACATCTTGGATCAATGACGAATGACCACTTCAACAAATTTAGTAATGCAAGTATCCATGGAGATATGACAGTTCATGAGCTTGTTCATGGAACTTGGCAGAACCATATAGGCCTATAGGTCTCAAAAATTAAGACCAAATTTTATAACCAATTAATAATAGCCCATGTATGGACCAAGCCTTCACGCCACTTCAAAATACAAGCAAGTTTTCTGTCAATGAAATATTCGTGAAACTGCAATGTCATTGTTTGGTACCGGTAGATACGTACGTATTTTAACCGGCCAACGTGTAGATTTTTTGCTTCTCTACTCTAGGCCTACGGTATGTTTATTTTTATATTTGGATAATAAATTTTATGTTTCCTTTACCCCATTTGCCGCACATATTTTAACAATCAATTCTGTGGCTTCTTTACCAAAATATCTTCCATCTCCACCGACAACGAGAGAACTCCCCTTCAACTTTTCTCCTAAGCCAGCTGTCAAAGTCGCCTGGACGAAATTCTCTGTATAATTCGGTTGTTGATAAACTTGCACGGCCTTGCGGAGTCCGCTGGTGCCCGGTTTCATTCCTTCGAATGGGCTTGTGGCAACCTTTTCTACAACGAGTGCCATTTTGTCTTTAAAACAATACAACTACAACACAGAAGAAAATGTAGAAAATCGGCGAAAAATCACCGCTGAAAACTAAAGCCTCCTCTTCTGTCGTCGGATCAAGTTCACAGTGGCCTCAACGCCGTCCTTGAACTCTCTACAGACGATATTTCAAGGTCATCTTGGGCCTAATTTGTAAACTCTTTTATACCGTAGTTCGATTGTCAGGAGGATTGTTTCAGAATCTGGGGAGAAAACTAAAAGTGTTTACTAAACTGAAAAAATGCCCGAAGACGCTCCAAAGCACTCAAATCTGCTACAATGCGATGCAAGTCCATATTCATGATATGTAAAGCAAAAGTAGAGATTGACTGATCCATCGATTTACCCAAAACAACCCCAAACAACTTAATTACCCAAAGCAACCTGTATTTTGAATAAAACTACACATTTTTATTGTTTTTACTTTCTTTTTATATGTATAGATGATTAATATTCCCCAAACTTCACTCTCTTTTTTATAGTTCTAAAACCAGAAACTCTTATTGTTATCGTAGGTTTGCCGATTGGCTAAAAGTTAAAGACCATTGCAGCTTCGTCATAGGTCACGTGATTTTTGACGAGATTGGAAAAACATGAATTCCGTGTTCGACTCGTTCGAAGACTGCAAGAAGGTTATTCTTGAATATCAAAGGGAAACCTCCACAAATTTTGTTTCCAAATATAATGATAAAGCATTCAACTGCGAACTTGAAGGTAATGTATGATAGAGACTTTAATATCCTCTAGCCTCCAGTCGAAGCCTGGCTGCCCCTTTTTTTCGGATGCATGCTAGGTAAGGTCTAAATATGAAGGCCACATGCATATCGTCAAGGTCGTGAGATGGAAATAGAGTTAAAGGGCACTAGATTGTGGGTAAGGGTTAGCCCTGTTTACATAAATCTTCAGACCTTCACGAAATTTGGATGTGACCTTAATAGTTAGTCTACTTCTAGGAGCAAGTTTTTTTAGTCATTAATTTATATAATTTCACTACTAACTAAAAAGTTACTGGATATTTATAACTGAAACTCCCTTACAATTAATGAATTATTTCCAATGATTCACGAAATTTTAACTAAGATAAAATCCAAATTTTAGTTATTTGATTGGATAATATTAGATTGATTTTAGTGCTTAGCCAATCAAAACTGAAGTATCTACTAAAATTTGGATTTTATCTTTAGTTAAGATTTCGTGAAACAGGGCCCTGACCCCAAACTGTACAGAGCTTAATATAAACATATAATTTAACCAAATCCCATTGAAATAAAGGTAAAGGCTTGTCGCATAATTATATGATTTGATAAAACCCAACTGCTACGCAAAATTTCTGTCCAGTTTAAAATGGCAGCCGAATCAAAATTGGAACACGCACAATATGATTTCACGTCACCTCAAAAATACAGAAAAACTGAAGATTTCAGTGTTCCACTATTTGTACCAGTAACATAATTACTTATTCCATGCAAACTGTGATGATATGTGTTGCAAATTTTGCAATTGAATTGAACCTATAATACATGTAATTTTACTTGCACAAAGCCTTGAATAGTGTAGCTGCGGACAGGATGCAGACGTACAATATTAGCTACTGTAGCTATAGGTGTGATGACAGTGTAGCCTACTGCGGTTAGGCCTATAGAGTGTACAGAAGCCTATCTAGTCCTCCCAGGGCCGGCCGTCTGTCCAGGTTTGGTTACTCACTCTTACGTTATAGGATATTATAGGATATTACCATAGTACGGCTATGTCATGAATGAAAAGTTAGTGACTTGATGTTGAGGGATCCGGCTGCGCATCTCACATGATTGTAAAGTTATTTTAAAACACCAGGCAAAGGCCAGTAGCCTAATGGCCAAGGTCCTGAAGATGATGACGTTGATTCTGTCTGTGTAGTTTTGAGTTTAATAATGACTAAAAGATTGTGAAACAGAATGACTTATCTCCTTTCAGATTGGCAAAAAATCTCCAAATACCTCCGGTTTCACACAGAAAACATTCCATTTCTTGGTTACCCATTCAAAGTAGTTGGTAGTCAGTGCCTCACCTGTCACCAAGGTGTCAGTCATGTCAAGAAGGATGTGCAGAAGGTGTGTATTTTCAACATGCATGTGATTTTAACAGTTAACTACAATCAATTTGACCGTGAAATGAAATAAAATGGGGCTTAACGTCCTACTTTGACTGCGCTTATGACGATGGGCATACGCCTTTCTGGTCTACGTGTGCTATAAGGGAAATTTTGCCCAGACAGCGGCACTATGGCTTACTCATATCAAATTCCAACTGTCAAGGGATCTTATACATGCACGCCAATGTGTATATGCTTGACCTGTTTTTTTTATCCCATCCGAACGACTATATGTTCTCCTTGCCAGGCCCTTGGAACCATGCCGGAAAATCCCAGCGAACTTTCTCGGCCAATGCAGGGATTGAACACCGGACCTCCAGGTTAGAGAGCCAACATTTTACTGAGTGAACCACCATGTCTCCCATACTAATAAGACCAAGAGTCTGTGATGTTGCTATCATAAGGTCTGTCATTGAGTCAACTGGCGTGGTTTCGATTCCCCGGTTGTACATGACAAGGAGTAGGGTCGCCTGTCCAAACTCATGGGTTTACTCTGGGTGCTCTGGTTTCCTCCCACTGCTAAAGACCCCTGCACGCAAGCAAATTATTCAAATAAAATTAGACCACATGTTAGTCCCGAAATGACCTAGTTTATGTCAAGTGGACGTTAATGGACAATATTGGTGCCAGTCATTATCACATATGTGATAGAGCTGGTTAAACACATTCCAAATATAATTTTAACACAGAGATCATTGCTACGATAGCTGAGTAATACAGGTTTCCTGAATCGGAAGTGACGAACGCCAAAGGAAAACACGAGTGATCCCTCTATATAACTGACTGATGTGACGAGTGATAACAGATACACCGCTGAATTTCTGCTCACTAATAATTCCTTTGAAGACCATAAGTTGCTGGGGATCATGGTGGCTTAGTGGGTAAGGCGCTGGCTCGCTAGCCTGGAGGTCGGGTGTTCGATCCCTGCATTGGCCGAGAAAGTTCATCCCGATTTTCCGGTGTGGTTCCCCCTTGTCAGGGATGCAGGACGGAGGGCCTGACAAAGACAGCTGTCTAGTCATTCGGATGAGACGAAAAACCGAGGTCCCGTGTACACATTGGTGTGCACGTAAAAGATCCCTTGACAGTTGGAATTCGATATAAGAGTAGGCCGTAGTGCCGCTGTCCGGGCAAAATTTCCCTCATAGCACACTGTATGGCGTATGCTCGTCTTCATTAGCCCAGTTCGGAGCAAAACAGTAGGACGTTAAACCCCATTTCATTTCATTTCATTTCCATAAGTTGCTGTTTCTCTCTCTCTCTCTCTGTTTGGGAAAATGACACCACTTTGTAGTATATTTTTTCCTGAGAATAAAAAAAAACATATCTTCTTGAGGCTGAGAATAAAAAAGTCTAAACTTATTTTCAACCATACCGATATATGATTGTCGATTTCTCCATATTTAGGATAATGAAGGGGACCATAGCTGCAGTAAGAAGAGGCGGAGGACTTCATGCTCAAAGAAAGTTGGATGTACCGCAAAGATAATTATCACCCAGATTTTTGCTTTCCCAAATTTTACGGTAAGTAAGAAAAAGTACAGTTCTAGACAAGAATTTTATTTCTTCAAATATAACAGTAAACAATTTGTGTTGCATGAAGGTGAAGCAAAGAGGATGTTTTAATTCACCACCAGTAGAATTACATAAATATCAAAAGTGCGATCTTCTTTATTATTTTTATCTTAATCATAGGCATTTGTGCTCTTTCCATTTCTTTCTACTCATCACTACAGCATTTCATTAATCTGGTCCCCACTCACCTCCTGACTGTGTTTTTCATGACATCTATGGTCTTGTCATGTTAATAAATGTCTAATTAATAATTTATATAACATTTAAGGCCTAAAGAAACTGCACTAATCAGATTTAGCTCTTGCATAAGGCTTATTTAAACATACATTATGCAAGAGATAAATCTGTCTATTGCAAGTCTTTATTTAGGCTTCAGATGTTATAGAAATTATTAATTAGACCTTTATTTACAGACAAGTTCAAAATCAACTTTGTAGACCCACAGATGGCCTGGATACACTTTGGATTTAAACAGTTGGCCATTTAAAATTAAATCGCCAATTCTCATAGACGGTGCAGACACAATTAATGCCTATTTCTAGTCCAAACTTCCAACAGTGATAATTCCATTCAGAATAAAGTAATTTGACTGAAAATTTCAACATTTTCTTTTTCTATCATCTATTTTTGAAATACTATAGCAAGAATGGCCAACTCTTTATAAAACTCTAACTAATGTATCTTTAAATGAATGAAAGTGATATTTTTCAAAGTTAGATTTATTGTTGGTTCATTCCAGTTGGATGAAGATACCAGACACAAGCGACAATTACAATCCCACCGTCTGAGAGAGGCAATAAGTAAAGAACCTAATAAGATCCATGTGGTGCCTAAGTTTTATATGTCATTGCCAGACCTAGAGGCTCACACAGGACATCCTACTGGTGGACCAGTAAGTATATAATTTGGAATGGTGTATTTGATGATAATTGAATGCTGTTCTACAAATGGCTAAAGTCATGTAGGATGTAAAAGTCCATCAAATTATTGACTACTTGCCTAAGAATTATCATTACGAAATAGGAAATTGGATTAAATTAGTAAAACTTTTGAATGGTGGCAAAGTGGGTAAAACGCTGGCTCGCTAGCTTGGAGGTTGCGGGTTTGATCGTGGTGTTGTCTGAGAAAGTTCATGAGGATTTTCCAACATGGTTTCCCAGAATGGAGGGCCTGACAAGGACAGTTGTCCAGTTGTTTGGATGGGACGGAAAACAGAATCCTGTATACACATTGACGTGTACGTAAAAAATCCCTAGGCAATTGGAATTCAGTACAAGAGTAGGCCACTGTACATCTGGGCAAAATTTCCATCATAGCACACTGTATGGCCTGTCTTCATTAGCCCAGTCGGAGCAGAACAGTAGGATGTTAAACCCCATTTCATTTCTTTTCTTGTCTTCGACATGCACTATTGGTAGAATTTGTAGAAACTTCCTGAAATTGCTCAGCTTATGTCTAATTAGAACAGGGAATAAATGCTTGTCTGTATTAGCATGGGGAGGTACATGTACTATGAATTGACTTATACTCACCACATCAGATTTTGGTCCACTTGCCCATTGGCAAACTGTTGGTAGAATTCTTTTTGCCCAGACAGGTTTTTCAATTGCCCAGATAAACAAGTGATGGACAAGAATGTTTTGCCCATTAACAAGTAAACATTAGTTACTCTGATGCTTGCAGCCTAGGAGATTTTCAGCTTGTCCTGGCCGTTGGAGCAACCAGTTTATCAAACTCCTGTGTACACTTCAGAGTCTCCAGACCATTTAAGTTAATCGAACTATATTGTAAAAAATGATAATCCCTTTTTCAGATTGCTGGACGTCAAGAACGGATAGATCCAGCCGTCACCCAGTTCTTAATTCGCGAGGCCAAAGCTGGTGTGCGGAAACTTGCGGATGCCAAACGGCATTTGGAGGCATTTGTTGAGCAGGATTTTCCAGATGTCAAAGATAAAAGGTCAAGCAGGAGATTTTTCCCGTCTGATAAAGATATATCAAATCGTTTGTATAATGTTCGAAGGACTAGTCTGTATTCCAAAGACGACCAGAAGAACCTGTCAGGGTTGGTGCGAAAATGGAGGGAGGAGCCTGATGTTCATATTCGATATAGGCCGTCCACTGGGGACGAAGATGGAGAACAACAAGATCCATTATTATTTGTCTACCAGGATGACCAGCAGCGACATCTGTTACTACGATATGGGCGAACCATGTGTCTGTTGGATGCTACATATAAAGCATGTCAGTCCAAACTCCCGTTGTTTTTTCTGTGTGTACGGACAAATTTCCAATATGTTGTTGTTGCGACATTTGTAACACAGTATGAGAAGCGAAAATCGATTGAGGAGGCTCTTGCTGTTATCAAGGACTGGAATCCGGGCTGGAAACCGGAGCATTTTATGACTGACAAATACCTCGCTGAAATGCATGCCCTGGAAACTGTATACCCGGGTAAGCTGATATTTTGTTTAGGCGGGTGTTTTTACAATAATTATTGGAAATGAAATGGGGTTTAACATCCTACTGATCTGCTCCGACGAGGGAAATTTTGCCCGGACAGCGGCACTACGGCCTACTCTTATATCGAAGTCCAACTGCCAAGGGATCTTTTACGTGCATGCCAATGTATATACAGGGTCTTGGTTTTTCGTCCCCTCCAAACGACTAGATAACTGTCCTTGTCAGGCCCTCCATCCTGCACCACTGACAAGGGGAAACCACATCAGAAAAACCCAATGAACTTTCTCGGCAAATGCAGGGATTGAACAGTTAATTATTGGCTCACCTGTGACTGTGAGTATGCAATCACACAGTGTCTGTTACCACTGAAGCCACTGACCTCAAACTTGGCACACATATATGTATATATCCCTGGGTAACATGCTACTCAGATACCAAATTGTGGCTTGATATGATTCCAAGTTTGGCCACTGGGGGGTGTGGGGGCCAAATAAAAAAGTGAAACCATTGTACCATGGGGATCTTCGGAAATAACTACTGTTGTATCACCAAGTAAGAGATATATTCACTTCAGATGTGTTTTTAGCTTCCAGTAGAATGATTGTCCAGTCCAATAGAATGATTGTCCAGTCCAGTAGAATAAATGACTACCAATCAGCTATAGGCTTGTTATTACTATCGTTTCAGGATCTACTGTCCTTCTCTGCGACTTCTACCGGGAAAAAGCCTGGACAGAATTTTTAAACAAAAACAAAGGAGAAAAGAAGGACAATAATGAGGCTATCGAGAGACTTTTAACAGGAGTTGCAAAGGCCAAAACCAAGCCACTATTTGAAGAAGCTGTGAAAAACCTCAAATCCAGTCCAGAGTGGAAAAATAGTGCATCTCTTCAAAGGTGGTACAAAACTTATTGGGAGCCATGCATAGAGGTAAATATTAATTTTGCTTTAAATGCGGGAGCGGATCCAACCAGAGGGAGGTTGGGGGGTCTAAACCACACACGCTGCTCGGCTACATAAAAAAAATTGTAAAACAACACTTATGAGAAGAGTGTCACGGTCGTGTGCTTTATCCTTTATCATCAGATGGTGGGATAGGATGGGCATTCAAAGCGCAAAATAATGATATAAACATATGTGATATCACAATTAATTAATGCTTTGCATCAATGAAATTAAATCCTAATCAATGAAATTAAATCCTATGTGATCCTATTAATTCACAATAAAAATTGACGTCAAATGATGATTGCAACATGCATTGTCAACTGGCAAATTCTCTTAACAGGAACCTGGCAAACCCCCTCCTGCGAAAATTCCTGTATCCGCCCCTCATATGTTATGTGTCGTTATAAAGTATGTTATGCATACATTCTATGTGATACCTGAAGTTATTTTGCCACAATGGCTCAGTAAGTAGGATATATTGGCTCGCTAACATGGAGGTACCATGTTCCATCAGTGTGTTGGCCGAGAAAGTTCATAAGGATTTTCCGGTGTGGTTCCCTGCTTGTCAGTGATGTAGGAAGAAGGGTCTGGCAAGAGATAACGTATAGTTGTTCGTATGGGAAAAAAAACAAGGTCCCATGAACACATTGGCGTGCATGCACAAAAACCCTTAACAGTTGCAATTCGAAATAAGATTAGTATTCCATAGCACTGCCATCAAGGCAAAATTTTCCCCATAGCACACTGCATGGCATATGCCGGTCTTCATTAGCGCTGTAGGAGTAGAACAGTAGGACGTTAAACCCCATTTTGATTTTGTGTTGATGTCATTTGAATGAAATGAAATAAGAATGTTTTTATCATCTCGCCTCTGATCTTCATCTCTCTGCTACAATAATAGAAGATAGAGCTGATTCTGTAAGTTGGCAGAATTTCTTAACTTTACTGTTTTGCTCAGCTAGGACATAAAATATCAGTGCACTGCACAACAGCACTCGCACATGTTTACAGCATCGTATTGTTGGAAATGAAATGAAATGGAGTTTAACATCCTACTGTTCTGCTCCTAACCTGGGCTAATGAAGACGGGCATACGCCATACAGTGCCAAGGGATCTTTTACGTGCAAGCCAATGTGTACACGGGACCTCGGTTTTTCGTCCCATCCGAACGACTAATCGTATTGTTGGAGTAACTGCAATCTGATTAAAACACAGATCTTATTTCGTTTCGTTTTTTATAGTTCAAAATTTCGTTTTTACTTGTCTTTACTACACTTGGATCTGGAAGACTTGTTATTTAACTCGTGTTCTGCTTGAAATGAGGGGTCAGCCAATCAAATGGTCTGTCGAATCGAGCATTTGACCTTTTTTGCGCAGAACTGTGGGTAGACATTACCAGCGATAGAAATCAAAACAAAGCAAAAGTAGATTTAAAAAAGCATGGCGGTCGCTAATTGGTTAATCGAATGACTGACGTTATCGGGTCAAATGTCGCTTGCTTGGTACCTGACGTCATAGAACGTGAACTCCCACTGTAACTTGTTAGATCTACATGTAGTGTAGGCCATCGAAAGTATAAAAAATATAGATCTATATTTTAATTAGATTGGAGTAACTGCCAATGGTCCGAAATGACATCTTTGATTCGACTGTGATACCGTTACATCGTTTATTGTTGGACCTGACATTCAATGTCACTATTTTTTCCTTTCAGAGATGGGCAGCTGTGTATCGTTCAACTCAGCTGAAAGTGGCCATCACTATCAACAACGGTATAGAGCTTCAAAATGAGACACTTAAGCACCCTCGCTTCATTGAATACAAACGTTGCTCGTTATCCGATTTGCTGACTGTTGTGATAGATCAGTTTTTGATCAATGAATTTGACATGTAAGTTGGAAATGCTCATTAACCAGACTACAGTTGAACCTTGTTACAAAATAACTCTAGGAACATTAAAGATACATTATGGGAGATAAGATAAAGAGTTGGCAGTTCTCACTATAATAGTTAAAAACTAGATCATGTAAAGGCAATTTGCTTAAAATTTCAGTCAAATTGATCCAACATGAACCAAGAATTAAGCGATTGAAATTTCGGCCCAACCTCGATCATCATTACTAAAGGCTGTACGATAAAAAAACATAGTCTCGATCATCCATTTCATGATTAAATTATGAATGGAAGTCGAGCAGCAAATGGGATCATAATCCAGTAAATATCGCAGGCTAGCGATGCCATTGAGTTTCAGGCCTAAAGAGTGACCTGCAATTGGCAGATTTAGCTCTTGCATAATGTATGTTTAATAATTTGTACCTTGTACACATAGTATGTACTTTAAATAGTAGCTGTTTAAACTAAGATCATACATTTGGGATGTTTGATAACACAAAAAGTTATGTTTATTTCGTACTAAAAAAAGGAGATAAAGAAAATTTTCTCTGTACCATTTAGCTGATAATTTAGCTGAAATATTAATTTTAATTTTAACCCCCATTTACTCTGTAGTCATGGTTCAGTGATTAAGACTTTGGCTCACTAACCTGGAGGTCCTGCATTGGCCAAAAAGTTAATCAGGATTTACCGGTGTGGATCCTCCTTGTCAGTGGTGCAAGACAGGGGGCCTGTGTCAGGGGCAATGTATAGTCATTTGGATGGGCCAAAAAACAGAGGTCCCGCGTGCACATTGATGAGCACATAAAAAATCCCTTGGCAGTTGGAATTCGATGTAATTGTTCGTCTTATTTTAACTAAAATATAACCCTTTCTTTATAAGACTTTTGTTGTTTTAATGTATCAAATAAATCAATAAGAAACTATGTGCAAAGTTTTGTGTTTCTGGATCAAAGATATTTATCATAAACAGTGATTGAAAGTTGAATAAATTCTTTCCAAATCATTGCTTTTTCATGGGCAAGAAACGTCTCCCATAGACATGGCACATTGCCGTTATGATTGAGAAAACTTGGGAATGGTCCAGAGTTGCAGTTGTGCGTCTGGTAATCAGGTGAGCACATTTCCCCATAACTATTCCATAGTACAATAAAGGTACCGATATGCTTTTTTTCAGATACAAGAATGCTAACATTGATTCCTTTCAAGAGTGTGGGAAGCTTGAAAGTGAATTACCTTTTATCAGTCACAACATGCCAAAAGATATCGTCCACCATATTGCTAATAATTGGGGATCCATACAAAATGCAGAGGAGATCGTCAACGAAGGGAACGGCAAGTTTATGGTCGGTAGTGAACGTTTGAGGTACATTATAGACCTATGGGTTCCATATTGTGAGTGTTTTAACTGGGCCAAGGACAAACTACCTTGCAAGCACATGTGTGCCGTTTTTAAGTTTTACCCAGAAACATGGATGGAGGTACCAGAATATTATCGAAATAGCCCATTTCTAACTATTGATTGGTATTGTATTACAGGACAAAGATCAGACATGTTGATTGAGATGCCACACTGTGAAATGAGTGTTAGTAATTGTGAATTTTCAGGTAGCGATGAAGAGGAACAGAAACAATTTGCTCCCCTGCCTCTGAAACATCGCATGCGTCATCGTTGTAATGAAGTTTTAAAAGACCTGCAGGATGTTGTTTTAGACATCTCTGATCTTGATTATTTGAAATCCTTGGAAGAACAATTGTTGAAGACCCTTCAGCAGGCCAAGGCCATGAGGCCAATGGAAGCAGGTCTTAATGTATGAAAATTCATCAAGAAATATTTCAAACAAACACATTGGGGTGCATGGCAGTTGGAATTTGATAAAAGAGCAGTCCAGACAAAATTTCCCTCAACACACCATCTTCATTAGTCCAGTTGGAGCAGAACAGTAAACTACATTTCATTTTATTTTCCATGCCAGCAACATGACAATTGGTTACGTATACATACTGTAATAAGTATATATTTGTTAAGACTGCACCTAACCAACTCTGGCCAGTAGATTGTGTAATAAATGGGTAAAAGCACATATTAATGTAATACGAATGTTTATTAAGTGATTTATAGTCAATTTGTAAAAGATTTATTGTAATTTCTAATCAGTTATGTTCGGTGAAATAATGTAAACAGGCCAATTTGAACAAAAGTTGTTTACGCCTGTGTAGTCCATTCTACACGTTTTTTAATTGTTATTTTGTTATTTGTGAATCAGTCATTACCAATTACTACTGCATTGTCTTATATATGCTTTCTTTGTTGGTTACAAATGGCACCCGAAACGACAGAGTATGAGACTCATGTACTGATTTTAAAATGTTGATTGTGTCTAAATATTGGATATTAGGATCTTTTAATTTCACAACAAGATAACAACATCAATATTGATTCATATTTTTTATTTCCAATATCATGGAAAATATTGAGTTAGAGATTTAGCTCCTTTAAGATTAGGGTGAATTCTTTATGATAATTAAAATTTTCACTTTGATGGAGTATTGAATACATAATGATCAAAAATGCAATAAACCCACTGTTGAATTTTACTTAAGGCCAAATAAAAAAATATTCTCGTTCTCAGATAATCCTGACCTATTTTTATTTTTTAAAAAAATAAAAAATAAAAACATTCTGCTTATGAGAGATTATGATTAAATAAAGAGCTGACAGTTTTCAATACAATAGTTAAAAAATAGATAACTTAAAGAAAATATGCTGAAAATTTCAGGCAAATTGATCCACTCTGAACCAAGATATTAGCTTTTGAATTTCAGGCTAGCCTTGATCATCATTACTAAAGTCAATACGATAAAAAACAAAGTTGATTATTCATTTTTACGTTTAATTATCCTTCATAAAATGTATTCCAATCCGCTAAATATTGCAGGCTAGGGTTGACATCGAGAGTTGATTATAATGGTCTGGATAAGCTAATTAATGTCTAATTAATAATTTAGAAAACATTTCAGGCCTAAATAAAGACCTGCAATAGGCAGATTTAGCTCTTGCATAATGTATGTTTAATTACTGCACATAGATCTTTTCCTCTGGTTATAGGAAATAACTCTATAAAATAATTTGAATGAATCCAGAAGTGTGGCATAGGCTCATTTATCAAGTACAACCCTCAGAAATGTTACTTACAGTGACAATCATGAATGAGACTTGATAATCATATATTCCTATATTCAATATGATGAGATAAATGTAGTGCCCTGAAATGTGATGGTCAGACCAGTGATCATTAGACAAAATAAATACATAAAAATAAAAACCTCCCTCCCACATCAGATTTTTCGTAGGGATTATCTGAGAACCAAATTTTATTATTATTTTTTTTTGTATGGCCGTATTATTTGGAAAAACTGACCCCATATGCATTTAACCCATTTTGGTTGATGAGTAGTGGCCAAAGTTTAAGGTGGTCTCAGTCTGTTATTGACCAGTGAAGACCCTGGAATTTTAAGTGCATTTTTCTTGGGAAAGCTAACTATATTTTGTACAGTTTGTATAAATCATTCGTATAAATGTATGGCTCATTGTACTAGACTAGTTTAGGTGTAGGTTAAAATCCTATATTATTCTCAGGTAACATGTTAAAAGGTGGAAGTAATTTTTATACACCCACATGGAAATGTGGTCATATATTGCTGTCTGTCTGTCTGTCGTCCACAATTTCTTGTAAACACTCTACAGACTACATTTATCATCTGATTGTTTTAAAATTGATATATGTTGTTTACATTAGTGAGATGAAGAAGCCTATTTAATTTCGAGTTATGGCCCTTGTTTCACCTTGTGAACGCTTTAATGACAAAAGTTACAATCCAATCTGTTTGAAATTTGTATGCATCATTTGAATTAGTGAAATGAAGATGCCTATTGAATTTCAGCTATTTCTGTTAATTGCGTCTTAGAGTTATGGCCCTTGTTTCACTTTGTTGAATCTTGTGAATGCTCTTATCGCAAAGGTTAACATCTGATCTGTGTGAAATGTATATGCATCATTAAGATTAGTGAAATGAAGAATCCTATTGAATTTCAGAAATTTCTGTTGGTTATATCTCGAAATATGGTCTTTGTTTCACTTCGTTGAATCTTGTGAACGCTTAAAGTTACCATCCGATCTGTATGAAGTTTGTATGCATCATTTAAATTAGTGAAACATGGAATATTATTTAATTTCAGCGTTTTCCGTCAATTGTATCTAGAGTTATGACCCTTGTTTGACCTTGTGAACGCTCTACTGACAATAGTGATCATTCGATCTATGTGGAATTGATATGCATTATTTAAATTAGTAAAACGAAAAAGCCTGTTGAATTTCAACAGTCTCTGTAAATTACTTCCAGAGTTAAGGCCCTTGTCAGTTTGTAGAATCTGGTGAACCCTGAAACAACGAAAATTATAATCTGATCTGTATGAAATTGTTTGTTAAATGCCCTCCCCCTCAAACCCCTCTACCAATAAATGAATAAATATGCGACAACCCTTGTTGTTTGCTTGGACGATTTAGCTGCTGTGGGCATTTTTTTTGTTGTTGCTTGGCAATCTATCTTTTAATAAATTGATAATTTCTTGGCACAATATACATGTTTGTGTTTATATACTTCAGAAGTGCAGTTCATCTTGCTACCTGCTCACTGAATGGGGGCAATGTAGCATTTTAGCAGTAGCTTAGCTCCACATGCTTATGCTCCACTGTTTAAGAAACTTTTAGAAAGACAAGTTCATAACCATTGTGATGCAGGTAACTGTGGATTTCAGAGAAAACACAATGCTTGGTGAAGACGGAAAAAAAAAACAGGACCCAGAGAAAAGCCTCAAGGTTGGACAGGCAACCCTACTCCTTGTCACATACAAGCGGGGTTCAATCCCTGCATTGGCCGAGAAAGTTCATCCAGATTTTCCAGGGTGGTTTCCCCCTTGTCAGTGATGCAGGATCGAGTTGTTCGAATGGGACTAAAAACCGAGGTCCCGTGTACACATTGGCGTCACATAAAAGATCCCTTGGCAGTTGGAATTGGATATAGGAGTAGGCCGTAGCGCCGCTGCCTGGGCAAAATTTTCTCTCGTCTTCATTAGTCCAGCCAGTCTGGAGCAGAACAGAAGGACGTTAAACTTCATTTCATTTCTGTCATGAATAATGAACTATTAATTCCACAATACTAGAGGAAGAAGTTTGTACTATGAATCGTTGATGTAGAACATTAGTATTATGGCAATTCGGCTCAGATTTAATGTAGTCTTATTGAGGAGGTTCTATAATGGTAAATACATGATGCGGGTAGGTTGTAGAAACCAAACTGATTTCTGCATAGTTTTCTTTATATGAGCATATTATCAATAACAATCCAAGGGAGGCAACTACATTTATTGAAATGGTCTCGGACTAGCAATTATTTGCCCATTGACTGTAACATCACAGGTTGTAGCTTTTTGCTCCACATTCCGTTCCAATCTTTATTGGCACGTAAGGGACTGCATTTGGCAATCTCCTCATCATAATTTTGTAGGGGGTTGACTGTTTAGATTTTTTGCTATGACGATTTTATGTTGACTAGGGTCAAAATCTTATTTCGGACACAATGACTGCTCTGCAGAAAGACACTTTACACTCCCTATCCCTCTGCTGTAATATCATCAGTATTACCCCCCAAACTGCTATGAAATTGCAAATTTGATCCCTTTTCTCCAATTCTATACCAAAAAGTCAACTCCAAAATGGAGGAGAAAGGGAAAAATTGTCTATAATTCGCACTACATTTGTTCATCATGAAAGAAGGGGAAATAATTACTAGTCTTAGTCCAATCAGTTTTGCTTTTCTGGCTCAGCATATCAGTTTACCACCCAGTTATTCGAGGACTTTCATAAGATTCCCATCAAGCTCCATCATTTTCCTACCTGACAAATGTTTAAAACAACTGCCTGTCAAGTAACCCAAACAATAAATGACCAAATAGTCCATATTAAAATATTTTAATTATCAGAAGAATTCTGTAATTGCATTTAACAATTTTCCAAAAAAAAAAAAGGTTTTAATTTTTTTAAATTAATGAACAAAATATTCCAACAAAATTTTCAAAAACAATTAAAGCCTATCAATAAACACTAGGGTAAATATGTATTACATAAGTCCCTGATATTAACTAACATGATATTATATAAAGTCCCTGTTATTAAACATACATTATGGGAGATAAGATAAAGAGATGGCATTTCTCGCTATAATAGTTAAAAACTAGATAGTGTAAAGGTAATTTGCTGAAAATTTCAGTCAAATTGATCCACTACGAACCGAGAAAGAAGCGGGTGAAATTTTTGCATAGTCTCGGTCATCATTACTAAAATCATTAATATAAACAGCATAGTCTGGATTATCCATTTTTACTTATACTTTACTTATCAATGGCCGTTAGCGGCATATAGGAATCTAATCCAGCCAACATCGAAGGCTAGCCGTGACATCGAGAGTTTATTATGGTCTGGATAAGTTAATTAATGTCTAATTGATAATTTAGATAACATTTCAGGCCTAAAGAAAGACTTGTAATAAGCAGATTTTGCTCTTGCATAATGCATGTTTAACTAACAAAATATTACAAAAAGAAAACTGCCAGTATATTATATACTGTATACTGTATATATTATATACTGTATATATACACACATTGTAAGTAACACATGCATATTACATGTAATTATATGTATATTATATATACACACTATAATTAGTAGGGGGATCTTCATTCGTGGGTTTCAGTATTGAACAATTTCCACCTGACAAAGGTGACCACAATATATACATCCAGTTAAATTTAAGCATATACACCTACAATTTATTTTAATGACAGATATTCATTGCTACTTAAAAATAAAATTTCATAATCAAGATTGTCACATATTTAAAGTAAACATGATAGGAATTTCCTGTAGGATTAATCAAGATAGGAACTTCATTTAAAGATTGCCATCTGTCATAATACAAGTTTCCTGGTAACTTTCAGAAAAATCTGATAAAAACTGTAGCCTTTATTGCGCTGACAAGAAAGTGTGGACGGACTAAGGGACGGAAAGGGTTATTACAATATATGTTCACATTTATGTGGGCTATAAAATACATGGGGTTTAAAGTCCACTCAACAAAAACTAGGTCATTTCGGAATTAACATATGGTTTAATTTTATTTCAATAATTTGCTTACGCAGTGGGAGGAAATCTTACTCCTTTTCACGTACAACTGGGGAATCAAAACCACGCCAGTTGACTCAATGACAGAGCTTATGATACAACGCGCACATGCTAACCATTCGGCCATCCAACCCCCCGTATAAAATACATCTTGTTTTACTACTGTAGCAATATTTAAAAAAATCAGCGGCTGTCAGACAGGATACGCCCACATTTTCGAGAGATGGATAGAGAACAAGCTAAAAAGGAAGTGATTTTTCCTACTATCAAGGGCCATAATTCAGAAAATTACAATTCGATATGCGCAAATATCGAAAGGAACTGAGATCTTTGGGTTATAAACTTACATTTCAAGTTTCAACAAAATCGGATAAAAATTATGACCTCTATAGGGTCCACAACCTTGATATACCATATTTTTACGCTATTTGAGAACGAAGGGCGGCCATTTTGTCTGTCAGTTTTGGGCCGATTTTCACGAAATTCAAACTCGTACAATCAGGGACCATAATCCATGAAGTTACAGTCCGATACATGCCAATATCGAAAGGAACCGAGATCTTAGGGTGATAAACCTATATTTCAAGTTTCATTAAAATCGGATAAAAATTGTGACCTGTAGACTGTTCACAAACAATTGTGGACGGACGGACAGGGGCGACGACAAGAAAATGTGGGCGTATAAAAACACGTAAAGGTTTCAAAATCACCAAATTATAGAGAGACACCTGTTGTTGATGTGTCCTACATGATTTAGTACTGTAACGAGATTAAAACACACATCATTAATGATTATCCTCTATCATAAGTTTGATTCTGTTTAATAAAAACCTTATCATGTGAACTTCATCACGTTTTCCTTTTCGTTCTCTTCGCACTGCGTTAAAAGAATGGTAGACAATGATTAAAAACATTGTAACCAGGATATACTGGAAAAACAGTGAAAATACGAAGAAGAAAAGAGGACCGAGTATGGAATTAACAACCGTTAATCCAAAATAGTCAGACACCCCTAACACAAAATTAAACAAAGTCATTATAGTTTTACCCATATCCGAATAGCCTTGTAATTGTGATCCAAATACAAGATAAGCAAAGTGAGCAAAAGACATAGTTGCTACAGTTATCATTAAGAAAAAACCTGCCAATAATGGTCTTCCTTTTTTAAAAGTGGCTGATAAGGAGGACATACTTTTATTAAAGTTTAACAATTTGAAGAATTTAATAATGACTAACGTGACTAAGCAGGCTAATAGATACTGTAAAATAAAATCCCAGGATATACAGGTATAAAAACTTGTAAACTTCTCCTCCCTAGAAGCTTTATAATTCTCTAGAACACTGCTTACACTTATAATTCTCTGTGCATATATTCCGATTGCAGCGTAAGACAGAGTTAAGATAGCTACTTCTACGTAACTCCATACATCCTGAAAATACCCTTTGGTGTCTCGAGAGAACCTTTTGACCTCATAATACGTAAATACCAGAATAAAGATTACAAAGGTTGCCTCACACACTGCCACAGCAATCTCAAAATCTTTCTCATAATGATAAAGTGTTGAGGTAAAGATATGAAAATGAGGAAAGACTCCACCATAGTTTGTAAACTCAACTAAAAGAATCATGACACTAAATAAGTTATTATTAGGATTGTATACAGTAAACTCAATAAAAATAGCTCTAGTTCTATCATCTATCCAGTCAGTATTCTCTACCTCTTGTAGCTTTGACAACACATCAGCTTTATTGACAGGTAACTCTATCACATATCCTCCACCAGGATAAGTGGCATAATCACCAGCATATGGAATGGTACTTAAATCAAAACTTGTTTGATGGTCCCATTCCGATATGAAGGTGTTATTCAGTGGTTGAGGGAGTTCTTTTTTCCAGGTTTTGTTAAAATAGCCAGTTTGATCATCTCCGATCCAATATGAACCTGAACAATCAATATGTTCTAGACCACCCATCGGTAGGTAAGGAAGATCACAAGTACCTGAAAAGAGAGAGAAATGGGGTTTAACGTCCACTCGACACAAACTAGGTCATTTTGGGACTAAAATATGGTTCAATTTTATTTCCATAATTCGCTTGCACGCAGGGGTCTATAGTAGTGGGAGGAAACCGGAGGACCCAGAGAAAACCCAGGAGGTTGGACAGGCGACCCTACTCCTTGTCACGTACAACCGGGGAATCGAAACCACGCCAGTTGGCTCAATGACAGACTTTATGATAAAGCGCGCACGTGCTAACCATTCAGCTATCCAATACCCCACACAAGTACCAAAATAAAATGAAATGAAATGGGGTTTAACGTCCTACTGTTCTGCTCCTAACCTGGGCTAATGAAGACGGGCATACACCATACAGTGTGCTATGAGGGAAATTTTGCCCGGGCAGCAGCACTACGCCCTACTCTTATATCGAATTCCAACTGCCAAGGGATCTTTTACGTGCACGCCAATGTGTGCACGGGACCTCGGTTTTTTTTACCATCCGAACGACTAGACAGCTGTCCTGCATCACTGACAAGGGGAAACCACACTGGAAAATCTGAATGAACTTTCTCGGCCAATGCAGGGATCGAACACCCGACCTCCAGGCTAACGAGTCAGCATCTTACCCACTTAGCCACGTGATCCCCCACACACAAGTACCTGAAATATAATATAGGTTGCCAGGCAATGAAAGCCACACTCAAAATATGTAATAAGATTATTAATTTTGCCATGAACATAAAACACTGGGTTTAAATTTCAAGGATCTAAATCGCTATTCTTTGGCACCTAAAAATGGACACAAATGGGTCGCAATAAACTGACCGACATTCAATCGTTTGAATTTACTGTAATTTTTAATCAGTTATGTTCGGCAAAATACGTGAAGAGTCTGAATTGAATGGCCGTCTTTGCTGTCTGGTTATTACATTTTACACCAGTAGTATTCTCCTACATGGGATATGCTTAGCCTCGTTCATCAAGTCGCTTCATACAACTGGCGCTCGAAAGCATTCTGGCACACGATTTGTGTACCAATTTTAAAATTTTCATTTTGTCTTAAATATTGGATATCGGAATTCATCTCTTCACGGTAAGATAACAACATCAATGTTGATTTAAACTGACCAATAACTCGTGTTTGCAATGTCAAAGATTGCGGATGATATTGAGTTAAAGACTTGGCTCCTTGAGACTACTAGAGGGTTCACAAGATAAGGGCAATGACTCTGAAAGTAATGAGTCAGAAAAGCTGTCTGCACTAAATACATCATAAAACACTGCATAGTGTATGATAGCATGCCCTTCTACATTAGCTGGTTTACCTTTTTGTTGTCTTATTTGTCTTAATCTGGCTTTTCCTAGGACATAAGATACATTATCTGTGGTTGTTCTATCCTGGCCAACTCTTAAATTATTTGCCAAGGTTGTCTGAGTATAATTCCAAAAATTTGCGACATTTTTTATCTAAAAAAATATACAATAAATTTAATAACATTTTAGTTTATCAAGTCTAATTTCAGGGGAAATTCCTGTTCTAAATAAATTTACAAACAGATGCAAGATATGCCCACTATTTGCATACATAGAGCGTCCATTTTGTCCAGAGGTTTTTTTTTGATATCGGATAAAAATTGTGAGCTCCATGGCAGGCCCGGCGGAGTGGGGGGGCTAGGGGGGCTTTAGCCCCCCCAATAATTTGGCCGCAAGTACTCTTTTCTCCAGGTTATTGTGGCCCCTGGACCCAGGCCTATAAGGACCTAGGATGGAAGCCCCCCCAATCAAGAATTGCTTCCGCCGGCCCAAATAATTTGGCCGCAAGTACTCTTTTCTCCAGGTTATTGCGGCCCCTGGACCCACGCCTATAGGGAACTAGGATGGAAGCCCCCCCCAATCAAGAATTGCTTCCACCGGCCCTGCATGGGGACCGCAAGCTAATACCGAGATTTTTCGTATAATCAGGGGCCATAATCCAGGAAGTTGCTGTCCGATATGCGTTATAATAAATATACATTTCAAGTTTCATCTAAATCGAATAAAAATTGTGACCTGTAGAGTGTCCACAAGCTAAAACTGTTAATTCTCATACAATCTGGGGCCATAATCCAAGAAATATCGAAAGGAACCAAGATCTTTTGGAGATAAACCTATATTTCAAGTTTTGTCAAAATCGGATAAGAATTGTGATCTGCAGAGTGTCCACAAACAAATTATGGACGGACAGGGACGACAACAATATACATCCACATGGAAAGTTCTTCAGTATTACTATGTCTACAGTAGATGTTGTAAATGCTTTTGCTTTGTCTCTTCTTGCACCCAATTGTGTTCAACTGATATTGAAACAAGCATGTTGTAGTTTTGTTGGTTTCATATATTAAAGATACATTATGGGAGATTTTAATAGAGAGTTGGCCATTCTTGCTATAACAGTTCAAAAATAGATGATGAAAGAAGAATATATTGAAAATTTCAGTCAAATTACTTTATTCTGAACAAAGTTATCACCATTGTAATTTTTGACTAGAAATAGGAGTCAACTCTCTCTTCACCGTCTCCGAGAATGGCCGATCGTTTGATTGACAGCCTAACTCCACCTACATAATCTCGATTATCAAGTAACGTTTTCAATGGCTGTGGTATACCGTTAGCCTATTCGGTTTGAGACGGGGTTGAAATTCAATTCGTATCACATTTATTTTTACTACAAATTAAAAATAAGACTTTTAATATATAGATATGAAAGGAATGGACCAAATCAATGAGGCATAATTATAGCCGACTTCTTGTTAGCCTGTGTGTGTACTCTTGTACTGTAACTGGTAGGCCTACATAACTCCTGCAGCAGACAAATACTGAAATAGGAAACAGTGATCCAATGGGGCTGCAATTCAACTGGGGTGATCTTAGCTGCCATGTTTATCAATTTCCATAATTTTTCGGTAAATGCAAGTGACAAAAGAGCGTATAATACCGACATCCAAACTCTCATTTTAACCACAACTAAACATAATATCAAGGCCGTATATATCGAACTTTCAATCAAATTCTAAAAAAGACTGACATGCAGCCTCGCTTCTTACACTCTATCATTCACGACGCCATTTGAAAAGTTAATCAATCAATGAAATCCTGTTTAAATCCAAGCCATCCGTGGGTCTACAGAGTTGATTTTGTGCTTGTTGTGTAAATAAAGATCTAATTTATGATTTCTATGACATCTGAAGGCTAAATAAAGACTTGCAATAATCAGATTTAGCTCTTGCATAATGTATGTTTAACATTTATAGGCCATGATATTTTTTGCTTGAAATTTATGCATACTTAAAATCTATCTTCTGCTTTAATTAAAACATTTCTCTCTCTTTACACACAAGAACATTAAAATCTTACCTTCATAAAGGGGAATTGAGGTGCATAATTGGCTTTAATAAACACATTCTTATTGACTTCATTAAAGAGAAAACAATTATTAACATTTCTGTGACCATATACAGTCATTACTACTACTCCAACAAAAAAAAAGTACATGAAAATCTCTCTCCAGGAATCCCTCATAAAGGCCTCTAACTTGAGTCTTTCTCTGATAGATTGAATCATGTTGTTAGACATTGGTGGTACATAATATCTTTCTCTAGCTGTATGTGTTTGCTGCCACATAGTCTGCTTCTTTATAATTTTATCATGTAGATATTCTTCATTATCATCTAAATAATTAAAACCATAACAAATTACAGAATTATGAAATAAATTCCAGTACTCTAATTTGTTTTTATATAAACGGATTATCATCTAAATAATTAACACCATAACAAATTACAGAATTATGAAATGATTCGAAATTATGTGTAACTATATGTAAGAGCTAAATCTGCCTATTGCTGGTCTTTCTTTAGGCCTGAAATTTAATCTAATTTGTTAATTAAACATTAATTAATTTATCCAGACCATAATCAACCCTCGATGCCATCGCTAGCCTGTGATAGATAGCATATTGGAATACATTTTGTGATGGATGATTTAACGTCAAAAAATGGATAATTGAGACTTGTTTTTTTATCGTACTGACTTTAGTAGTGATGATCGAGGCTAGGCCGAAAATTCAATCGCTAATATCTTGGTTAAGAGTGGAGTAATTTGACTGAAATTTTCAGCATGTTCTCTTTACATTATATTTTTTTTTTATAATTATTATAGTGAGAACTGTCGCCTCTTTATCTAATCCCAATAATACCAATTGGAGCAAATCTCAAAATGTGGGATGAAACTTTGCCGCAACATTTTTTTTTGTGTTTTTGCCTTGAAGTGAGAATGACTAAACACCATCTGAAAAAATCCTTACCTATTTCTTGATCTGGTATTGGTGGTTCATAATTGGCCGGTCTTTTTAAGATTAGTGTCGTTAATGCAGCTATTATAATAACTTTAGATGGCTGAGTTATTATAGCACTCTGAACAAAAGAAGTAAAAAAACCAACCAACCAGGCAACACTTTTGGCATAACCATATTTCAAACCGTATAGCATAATGAAATAGGAACAAATGAAGCATGTTAACAGGGTTATTGTCCAGGCTATATACATAAACCACCATGGTAATCTGAAATATATAATCATTTCCTTAATCATAAAATAATCTACTCCATCAAGAGCTTGAATATTTCCTCAATATGTGCCACTGAATATATGAAACTACAGAGAGAGAGAGACTGGGTTAACATCCACTCAACCACAAACAACAAACTAATTCATTTTGGGACTAACACATGGTTCAATTTCATTTCAATAATTTGCGTACAGGTCTTTAGCAGTGGGAGGACCCGAAAGATCGCTTAATTTGAGCATTGAAATGAAATGAAATTTAAAAGTCCTACTGATCTGCTCCGACTGGGCTAATGACGAAGAGCATACTCCATACAGTGTGCTATGAGGAAAATCTCGCCCGGAGAGTGGCACTATGGCTTACTCTTACAGGGATCTTTTACTTAGTCCTTTTCGAATGACTAGACAGTGGTCTCTTGCCAGGCCCTCCGTCCTGCATCGCTAATAAGGGGAACCACGCTGCAAAACCCTGATGAACTCTCTCAGTCAATCATGGCTACAATTTGAGCATTGAGCAAAAACGACCACCATTTTTTCTTATTCTTTACAATAGTTTTAGTATTTAATCTGGTAATACCAATATAGCACTCTACTAAAATGTCTGCAACGATAATCACAAAGGTAGGTTGCCAGGCAACAAAACATATGCCTATAACTCTATAGGCGTCTTTGTATCAATTATGTTAACAAAATACATAAATTTCAAAATGACCAGATAATAAATGTAGTCTGTAGAGTGTTCACAAGAAATTGTAGACGATGGATGGAGATAGGCAACCACAATATACGACCACATTTCCATGTGGGCTTATAAACATACTCACTTGAAATCAGTTTTCTTACTATCTTTACATTTATCTGATTCTATCTCATATTCATTCTTCACATGTCTTTCTCTAGGCCTGGGAGATAAGCGGATGAATAGCTGAACTATTATTAAGTTGACCGGAAACATTATCAAAGCTGATTGTATACCAATTATAATATCATTCCAATTAAATTCAATAGGACCTTCCGTAAATTGTGCTAGAGGATTATCTGCACTGTGCACACCTAGAAACATCAGATTTGCCAACATACAGGTCAACAGCAGAGATAACCCACACGTCAAACGCTGACATCTGCTAAAATCACTAGTAGCTGACTTTGAGAATATGCTAATCCACAAATGGTCATTTCTGAAATTCTGACTAGATTTTAAGGCAAATTGATATGTTCTTTTCTTAAAGATCTCTGCTTCTAATAATGCTGGTATTTCAGCTTTTAATTCTTTTGGTCCAAGTTCCACACTAAGCCAATTGTCGTAAAGACAATGCCATGTTTCACCAGTCTGTACATCTTTTATTATAAGTTCTTTTAGATACCTGAATATAAAAAATAATTATAATTTATGTGTGGTTTATTGGACGAGTGTGAGACATTAAGTAATATATTGATATTGCACGAATGTGTCAGAACGAGTGCTATATCTATATATTATGCAATGTCTTGCACAAGACCACTGATCATACGCATGAGTCATTGAGGCGTTCCTGTTTCATTTCTGAATGCATAACAAGTTTCTTTTAATTACCATTTCAGTAAAGGAGTTCTCCGGTAATTAAAGGCTGATTGAATGGCCGAATGGTTAGCGCATACGCTTTGTATCGTACAACTGGGGAGTCGAAACCACGCTAGTTGACTCATTGACAGTCAACTGGCATGTTTTCGATTCCCCAGTTGTACATGACGAGGAGTAGGATCCCCTGTCCAACTTCGTGGGTGTTCTCCGCAGGGCTCGACACTGCCGTTGGCCTCGGCGGCCATGGCCTCCGAATTTTAGAACTTGGCCGCAGATTCGTGGCCGATTTTTAATTATCCACGGCCATGTATGGTCGCCGATGAGTGCTGGGTATCGAAAGAGTTATTTTTACTGTCGGTAATTGCCATTGAAATGTCAATTGATAGTATCAAAACAATCTTATTATTGTTCTTTATTTTTAAATAATGTAGCCTTGGTTCTGAATGACGAAATACCGTTGATATGCCTATGTAGGTGCAGAAACCAAAATAAAATGAGCACGAGTCGATTCAAAACATTGCGTACGTGAGCGCGACAAATACCAACATGACGGACAATTCGTTATTGATTCGCGTGCAAAAACTAAAGAAAATTTAATAGCCTCAAGAGCTTGTTATCACGAATTCGTAAATTGTTTATTATTATTAAAATAATGTAGCCTTGATTCCTAGGAAGAAATACAAACGTTTTTGTCATCCATCAGTTCTATGTCATTTATAATGAGCAGACGAATTCTGAAAGGGAAAAAACTCTGAAATATTTACACATCCGGGTATCTCCAATTTAGCGAATTCCATACCATGATATGGCGGTTATTGTTTCAAACTAAAGTATTGTTTAAATGAGGGCGAATTTATTTTTCCATTTTTTAAAAATGCTACATTGAGATTGAGACTTTGAAGTAAATATAAAGTGACCGATGTAGGGTATTGTATTGTTATATATACGAAGGATTAAGTCACAGAAAACATCGAGTCGACTCCTACGCACGCACGAAAAATAGACGAATAGAACGATACTCGATAGGCCTGTAACAACATTTTTTTTGACTGAGAAAGAAGATCTAGTGATCCACAATAAACAGATTCACATATGACATATTGAAACCTTCTGAATAAGCTGATAACATCATAATTCATGACTTAAAAATTGGCCTTGGATTTTCAATTTTTGGCCTTGGATCAAGGTTGCACTTTGGCCCAAAGTTGGCCTTCAATCGAAAAAACGAATTTCAAGCCCTGGTTCTCCAGGTCCTCCGGTTTCCTCCAACTGCTAAAGACCCCTACGAGCAAGCAAATTATTGAAATAAAACTGAACCATGTGTTAATCCCCATTCCCCTCTCTCTCTCGGCTAATTAAACTAAGGAACCTACCAGGAAGGTGATACACCAGAGTTATTATGCCATATAACAACAGATTTCAGTCTTCCAATACGAGAAGGTGTTGTCATTAGAAACCAATCTTCACTGCCAGACGAAAACAGTGTTCGATCTGAATCAATTAAAGCATGTCGAGGACTCTGTGAATATCGCGTACGTAGATATATAAATACGTCTGCTGTAGTACTTGCTCCTCTCCACCATCCAGTTGTAACACCTATCAGATATATATATTTATCTTCCGTATCATTATCTTCCAATACTGTCACGCCTCTCTACAATGATAAATTAATGTTCTTGAAATAATAATTCAGGCTCTGTAATTAAAGATACATTATGGGAGATTCGATAACAAGTTGGCAGTTCTCACTATAATAGTTAAAAACTAGATAATGTAAAGGCAATTTTCTGAAAATTTCATTCAAATTGATCCACTATGAACCGTGAACTAAGCGGTTGAAATTTCCTGCTAGCCTTGATCATCATTACTAAAGTCAATACGATAAACAGCATAGTCTCGATTATCCATTTAATCGTTAAATCGTGAAGGAAAGTTATGCAGTAAATCGGCTCATAATCCACTAAAGATCGCAGGCTAGCGATGTCATCTAGAGTTGATTATGGTCTGGATAGGTTAATTAACGTCTAATTAATAACTTAGATAATATTTTAGGCCTAAATAAAGACCTGCAATAGACAGATTTAACTCTTTGTATAATGTATGTTTAAAAACAACTTTTCAATAAATAAAGCACAATCTGATTAAAACACAGATCCTATTTCGCTTCGTTTTTTATAGTTCAACATTTTGTTTTACTTGTCTTGACTACTCTTGGATCTGGAAGAATTGTTATATAACCCACATTCTGGATGATGTGAGGGATTAGCCAATGAAACAGTCTGTTACAGCGAGTTTTTAACGTGAGGTGCACTGAACTGTGGGTAACCTACAAGAACCATCAACGCTGATTGGTTAATCAAATATCTTCATGTAGAGGCCATCGAAAGTATAAAAAACGAAACGAAATATAGATCTGTATTTTACTCAGATTGAATAAAGCAGAAATATTTGTTATATTGTAAACCTTAAAGTCAAGAGTGATGCTCATATCTCCTGCTTTAATCCCCTAATTAATTAATTTTATCTTTTTATTAAGCATCGAGCAATCAAATTACTTATCACTCTGCTTAACCCCTTAACTGTGTAATTAATTTGACGTTAACTACCCCCTATTGCGTAATTAATTTGACGAAAAACGTCATTTTTGGGCCTATTTTTTTCCTGAATACAAATTTTAGTGGTCTTAAACCATATTAAAACTAACAGTAGAGTTGTCTCCCTTCAATTAGATTTCCTCGACCAGGCGTAATATAACGTCTTACACAATGCCGAGATCGTGTTGGAAGAATAGGTTGGGGAAAATACCTCCAGGGCTTATATTACATCCTTGCTCTTAGGGGTCTTTAGCAGTGGGTGGAAACCGGAGGACCCGGAGAAAACCCACGACGTTGGAGAGGCGACTCAATGACAGACCTTATGAAACAACACGCATGCACTAACCATTCGGCCATCCATCCCCCAACTGACCGACAGACACATGAGGCAACATATGGGTAAGATAAAGAGAATTTAAAAAGGGTCTATGGCTAACTTTATACCAGTCCTTTTTATCTTCTGCTCTTGCCCAGATCAACAGGAACATATATTGCATCCATATAATTATAACGGTCATCATCACAACAGGATTGTCAAAAAAAGTTAAAAATAGGTAAGCATCACTAATAGGATGAAGCATATTGGGTACAACAAACATGGCTCCACTGAAAGCTGTTAAATGATTACATAAACAATGCAGATTTTCAACTGTAGAAAATTCTGTCAACTGAAAAATAAAGAATATTTTTTAAGTTTGTTTTCATACATTTGCCATCTTCACACTGGATTTTTCAAGAGAGAGAGAGAGAGAGAGAGAGGGAGAGAGAGAGAGTGAGAGATGGGGTTCAATGTCAACTCGACACAAACTAGGTTATTTCGGGACTAACACAGGGTCCAATTTTATTTCAATAATTCACATGCGCGTAGGGGTCTTTAGCAGTGGGAGGAAAGCAGAGGACCCAGAGAAAACCCACGCGGTTGGACAGGCAACCCTACTCCTTGTCATGTACAACCAGGGAATCGAAATCACGCCAGATGACTCAATGACAGACCTGATGATACAACGTGCACACGCTAACCATTCAACCATCCAACCCCCCCTTAAAAATATCATAGCTCCACTGACTGACTCATCAGTATTATAAGTCAGAACATTGTCCAACAACCATACCATGATACTGTCAATTGCATCCACATGATGTTGTTTCCAGTGTCGGCCAAAATCCACAAGCTTCTGACAGTCCAAAGATAATCGCTTTAAATTACTTGCAGGATGTTTTGTAAAGTCGAACCAGACCATGCTCATTCCTTGCTTGCAAAGAAAATATTCTGAATGTTTGGCTGTTGGATATTTTCATATCACTTTTTTAACATAACTGAAGATCTTTATGCCTTATATATAATCGATAGAGTCTATCAAATACAATCAGATTAAAACACAGATCCTATTTCGTTTCATTTTTATAGTTCAAAATTTCATTTTACTTGTATTTACTACACTAGGATCTGGAAAAGTTGTTATCATTGACGTGTTCTGAATGATGTGAGCTAGTATTAGCCAATGAAACGGTCTGTTACGGCGAGCTTTAAGCTTGTTTTCCACGGAGCTGTGGGTAATCCACTAGTAACAGCAATGCTGATTGGTTAATCAAATGTCTGACGTCATAGGGTAAAAAGCCGCTAGTATGACCTTTGACGCGACCTATCGCTACAAACGGTCAGATCTTCGTGTAGTGTATGCCATCGAAAGTATAAAAAAACGAAACGAAACATAGATCTGTATTTTTATCAGATTGTATCAAATATAACTTTAACAAAATGAAAGCCCACCTCGCAACCTTCATCACTCCAGATCTCCTTCTTCACATCCCAATATACACAACGACTTGAAAACACTTCTACATGAACAGTTATACTAAAACTACCATCATTACCTGAATCTCTAATATCATCCATAGAAATAATCTCCCCATATTTACCCGCGATACCAATATAAATCTCACTAACGTTAGACATTTCGGGAAAAAACAACAAGTATGGATCCTGTTTTAGGTTTTTATACGTTTTAAGGCTGGAGCTATTGAGAGGAATACTGTATCCATCTTCCTGAATATCTTCTGTACTAATATTTCGACTCTCATAATGTGGAAGAATCATAACAGGGTAGTCTGTATTCATGGGTTTTATCATAACTATAATAGTATTATTAAAGTTAGCTGGTATAACTATTAGTTTAGAATCACTTTCAATAACATCAAGTTTTTCAAGACCGTAAGTCATTGACAAGGAGATTTCATACGCTCTGTTGCCATAAGATGGCTTTTCTAAAATTAGAAATAAAATTAAGAAATTAATGTACCACCCGTACATTAAAAATACAAACACCCATTATCGTTAAATTTAAATACCAAACAGAAGATTTGATTATATAAATATTTATAATGTAGTAAAAATTAATAAACCAGCGGTTGCCAGGCAATATACGCCCACATTTTGCAAAAGATGGACAGAGAACAAGTTAAACAAAAATGAGATTGTTTGTACAATCAGGGACCATAACCAAGTTACTGTCCAATATGCACAAATATCGAAAGGAACCGAGACCTTTGGAATATAAACATTATTTTAAGCTTCCTGAAGATCGGATAAAAATTGTGACTTCTAGAGGCTCCACAACCTTGGTATTACATACTTTTACACTAGCAGCCATTTTGTCAAGCAGTTTTAGTCTGATTTTCACGAGATTTCAACCATCATTAATGTGTAACGGTTATATATTTAAACGTTCTTTTAAATCAAATAAAAATTTTGACCTCTAGAGGGACCACAAGCTAAAAATGTGATTTTTCGCATAATAATAGGCCATAATCCAAGAAGTTTACGGTTCAATACGCACGAATATTGAAAGGAACCAAGATCTTTGGTTTATAAACACACAGTTCAAGTTTCATCAAAATCCAATAAAAATAGTGACTTGTAGAGGGTTCACATTTCAAGTTTCATCAAAATAGAACTTCCCCAAGCTAAAAACGTGAGTTTTCGTATAATCAGGAGCCATAATCCATGAAGTTACGATCTGATACATGCCAAGGAATTGAGATCTTTGGGAGATACACATATATTTAAAGTTTCATTAAAATTGGATAAAGATTGTGACCTGTGAAGTGTGTACAAACAAAATGTGAACGGACACACCAGACACACGGACGATGACAATATATGTGTACGTCCACATGTGGGCGTATAAAAATTATTTTTATTTTATTAGTAGAAAAAAATATACAGTTTAAAATTCAAATGAAAATATTGTATTGCAATATATCGATATAGCAACATTTTTTGAAAGCCCTAGTAGGGTGTGTATAAAAATTCACTTTTATGTTTTTTCTGACTTTCCTCTTAAGATAAGTTGATTGCCAACTCTATGGCCATTTAAATCTTGTTACAAAGAGAGAGAGAGAGAAATATAGTTTTAACTCCATGACCCAAACTAGGTCATTTCAGGACTAACATATATGGTTCTATTTTATTTCAATAATTAACTTGCGAGTAGGGGTCTAGTATTTAGCAGTGGGAGGAATCGAAACCACGTCAGTTGATTCCATGACAGACCTTATGATATACAGCATGCACATGCTAACGATTCTGTTTCAAAATCGTGTAGAAGTAATGTTAATATGATATTTTCAATCAAATTCACTTACTAGCAGTATATACATTTACATCAAAAGGTTCGGACAAATTTTCAAACTTCATCTCTGAACCTTTGGAATTCTTGAATAATAAACTAACTACTGGTACATCAATATCTTTAGCCGTTGAACTCCATACGAACGGATTCTCTTTATATTCACCAATCTTAAAGATACATTATGGGAGATAAGATAAAGAGCTGGCAGTTCTCACTATAAAAGTTAAAAACTAGATAATGTAAAGGCAATAAAAAACAGTCTTGATCATCCATTTCATGATTAAATTATGAATGGAAGTTGAGCAGCAAATGGGAAATTACTCTGAAATGAATTATAATATTATAAGTGGTTATTGATTTTGATAGACTTCATCCCAGTCTGATTAAAACACAGATCTATATTTCGTTTCATTTTTTATACTTTCTATGGCTGTAGTAATATGGATGGCGGGATTTGTTCTAAAGAACACATATGTATAATAATATTATGGCCTTGATTATCATTCTCCATTGTTAAAATATTAGCTATGGTATGAGTTTATTTAAAAATGCAAATTAAATTGTTTATGAAATAATGTGAGCATGACAGGAAAAGGGGTTGAAGTTCAAGGATAGATTCTATGTCTAAATTAAAGCACGTGATAGGAAAGTTACCATTTCATATTTAGCATGAGTGACCAATCACATGATTAATTACATCATAATTAGCCAATAGAATAATAAATGGCTGTGAATCTGAGAGTATATAATTTATAGAATGTGTGTTCTAGGGTAGACATCATGAAGATTTGAGAGAGGAAACATCATGTAGAAATTTGTTACGAGAGACAGTTGAGGTCGAAGTGGCAACATCTGGGTTGAGGGATAGAGAGAATGACTTTATTATAATCTATGATTATGGTAATTGCCACCTGAAAAAACCCTAACCCATGACCCACAAAGAGTGCACCACAATTTTTATAAGTGGAGTAGTCTGACCTATGACCTAACTACAGTGCCCCACCATTCTTATACGGGACCTATTGTGATCCATGACCTGCAACCTAGAGTGTCCCACTGTATCTATGTGTGGCTTAGCGTGACCCATTACCCACCCAGAGTGTCCCCCATTGTCATACGTGACTTAGAGTTTCCATAATTTTTATGTATTGCCTAACCTAACCCATGACCCACCTAACAATTTGTATTTGTGGCCTAGGGTTTTTGCGGTCATTAGTGTGTTTTTTCGGTATTTAGGGACATTTGGGTTTTTAGGGTTTTTCAGATTTTTTTGGATAATTAGTATCAAAAAAGGTTTTTTTCGGTCCTTTTCAGATTTTTTCGGTATGTACAGTCGTTATAAAAATCAATTTTACACATTACTTCCCACAATCACAGGTTTCTTTCAGTCTTAGCATCCATGTATATTATTTCAAAATAGATAATTAATTTTAATACAAAACTGAATACCTGATATGAAACAGGAATATCTTCTGTTGAACTGTCATTATGTTGAACTATGTCTGGAAACATGAAAACTCCAGAAGTTCCAACTTCCTGTGTAAAATTACTTATAGCACCCGATATACGTCCAACTATGAGGGATAACTTGGGTGTTGAGACAACTATCGGTGGATCATCTGTTTCAATCAAAGAAACTATGGCATCACCTATAGTCTCATATATACGCATGAAAGACATTGTAGTATTTCTTTCCTGCAAATAAATAGTAGCCATAAAACTCAATTTTAGTAGGTGCTAGCTCCTCGACACCTTCACTGCATGGTCGATAGAATATATAGAGAGAGAAATGGGATTTAACGTCCACTTGACACAAGCCAGGTCATTGTGGGACTACCCTATGGCTCAATTTCAAACCAATAATTCGCTTGCACGTAGGTGTCTTTAGGAAACCGGAGGACGCGGAGAAAACCCATGAGGTTGGACATGCAACCCTACTCCTTGTCATGTACAACCGAGGAATCAAAATCACGCCAGTTGACTCAATGACAGACCTTATGATACAATGTGCACACGCCAACCAATTCAACATGAAATGCAACATTAAGAACAGATTTATCTGTTAAACCCCAATTCTCTCTCTCTCTCTCTTTAGACCTGAAATGTTATCTAAATTATTAATCAGACATTAATTAACTTATCCAGACCATAATCGACTCTCAATTTACTGGATTAGGATACTATCTGCTGCCCAACGCTCATTCATGATTATATCAAGAAATGGATAATCAAGACTATGTGTTTTATCGTACCGACTTTAGTAATGATGATCGAGCCCAGGCCCAAATTTCAATCACTAAATTCTCGGTTCAGAGTGTATCAATTTGACTGAAATTTTCAGCAAATTCCCTTTACATTATCTAGTTTTTAACTATGATAGTGAGAACTGAAAGAATTTAATAAACACTCCTGTAAAATGCATTTCTTCAGGTGGTTTAGTGTTTTGATAATCAGGCAAGTGAACCAATACACTAGTTTTTTTGTGTTTTTTTTTGTAAACAATATTTAATTTCATTTGAAAATGGATTGGAGAACAGGTTGGGACTTTGTTGACTCCTCTCCAGGATACCCGTTAGAGGACTGGGGCCGTATTTATAAAAATTCTTAGAGTTTTCATAACTTTTACACTAAGACTTCCTAAAACAACATTTAGTTAAAAGTTACTCTTTAAGAATATTTATAAAGGGTCTTAGAGTTACTTTTAACTAAATGTAAGACTTGGGTCCTAACCAAACTTTTAGTGATGTAACCATGGGAAATCCGGGGATTCCCTGAAGTTATTTATAGCTCAGTGTTGATGTCATGCAATCACTCTACTCACTGTAGGTTGACTGACGCCGAAATCGTCACCACTACAGAGTTGCATTTTACCAGTAGCTAGGAAACGAAGCGTAATGGCGATCTTCATCTCAGCGTCGATTGAGAAATTTCGTTAAGTAGGACTCGTAAGTAGATGCCGAACTAAATCTGTCACAAAAAGAATCCCACCCATGTCCATTCGATATCTCCTTATCAACTCGTCATTGTTGTACTCCACTAAGAAATCTCTTCTTGTTTTAAACTCTCTTAGGCGGCGTACACGGACGGCCATGTTAACCAAGATAAGAGTACTTTTAACAAGTTAGGAGTGCTACAGGAGGACTCCTAAATATGTGTCATAGTTAGGAGTAATTCTTAAAGTAAAATGTTTTATAAATAGGTCTTACGAAAATCTACAAAGTTAGGAGTAATTTTTGACAGTTAAGAGTTGGTTCCAACTCTTAGAATTTTTATAAATACCGCCCCAGATTTATAGAAATTATTAGTTGTGTAATACACTAGTTGGAGGTCTAAACCAGGCAGGATACGCCAACATTTTGCAAGAGATGGATAGAGAACAAGCTAAACAAAAAGCGATTTTTCGTAAAATCAAGGGCCATAATTCAGGAAGTTACAATCCAATATGCACGAATACTGGCAGGAACCAAGATCTTTGGGTTATAAAGATATATTTCAAGTTTCATCAAAATCAGATCAACATTGTGACTCCTAGAGGGTCCACAACCTTGATATACCATATATTTACACTATTTGCATACGAGAGGCTGCCTATGTCCAGCAGTTTTGGACCGATTTTCACGAAATTCAAACTCAGCCATAATTAGGATGTAACCGTGATATATTCAAACGTATACTCTCAATGTTACAATAAATCAAAAATGTTAACTTTATAGTGTAAATTCGTTTATAGTGCCATCCTTATTATAATACACTGACACACGGGTTCAAAATTCTGCTTTCCCCAATATGGAGAGGGGGGTTGGATGGCTGAATGGTTAGCGTGCGCGCACTGTATCATGAAGTCTGTCATTGAGTCGACTGGCTTGGTTTCGAATCCCCGGTTGTACGTGACAAGGAGTAGGGTCGTCTGTCCAACCTCGTGGGTTTTCTCCGGGTCCCCCGGTTTCCTCCCACTGCTTAAGACCCCTATGCACAAGCGAATTATTGAAATAAAATTAAACCATATGTTAGTCCCGAAATGACCTAGCTTGTGTCGAGTGGACGTTAAACCCAATTTCTCTCTCTCTCTCTCTCCAATATGGAGACAGGGTAAATAAGATAGTACTAGGAAAATGACATCTAAATTAGTGTTTTGAATTTTATGGAAAAATTACATTAGTACTTACCTTTTTAACCTTTTCTGTATCAGTAAGCTTAGTTGGAGTATTGTCTGTACCATTATCAATTACAGACAAATACTCCTTACCTCGAACAATAGAACCTGCCATTAATTTAGATGTTCCTTTTAGCAATGACCTATAATATAAAAATATATATGATGAAGACCATGAAGTATACAAATAGAAAGGTGAAGAGAGAGAGAAAGGTGAAGAGAGAGAGAGAGGAGAGAGAGAGATAGGTTATTTCGGCACTAACACATGGTTCAATTTTATTTCAACAATTCGCTTGCATGTAGGGGTCTTTGTCAGTACAACCGGGGAATCAATGACAAACCTTATGATACAGCAAACATGTACTAACCATTTGGCCATCCACCCCCCCCCCTCCCTCTCTATAGAAAGGTGCAATTCGGTATATAAAACAAGCCCAGATACAGATACAACCAATATCAATCTGCTTAAAACACAGATCCTATTTTTTCTCGTTTTTATAGTTCACAATTTCGTTTTACTTGTCTTTACTACACTAGGATCTGGAAGAGTTGTTATATAACCAAATTTATGATGATGTGAGGGATTAGCTAATGAAACAGTCTGTTACGGCGACTTTTTGGCGTGAGGTGCACGGAACTTTGGGTAAACGACTAGAAATGTCAACGCTGAATTGATTAATCAATGTCTGATGTCATAAAGTTAAAAGCCGCTCGTATAACACCTGTCGCGACCTTCCACTACAACTGGTCAGATCTTAAAGATGGGTTCCCGCGTACAAACTGGGTGATTAATTGGTATATATGGACTAAAAACAAATTCAAACTAATTAATTTGTCATAATTTTGCTTCAAATCCTTCTCAAACATTGTAATTGCAAAGGAATGTCCTGCTATAAAAATTGCCATCAAACCAGGTCATGTTTACGTCACGTCTTGGGAGTCAGAGGACAATTCATTGCATACATAAGACGATGTTGTCTTTAATCGCTTACTATTTATTACAAATATCGAATCCTAATTAAATTCTCGGATTATCCACTACCCGCGTCTTTTTCCGTCATTTTTATCTCAGAAAGTGTTGTACGTCTAACTCTTCACAAAGTTTATCAACTTGTACATCAAGTGTTCAATGTTCGCATGTGACCTTGACATCACGTGTGCAGAAATTCCTAATCGTCGGGCTGTCGATAAGAGGGACCCTTACATTTTTGTCCTGTATACGCCCCATGAGTGGTTTTCGGGGAATCCAGTATTTTTCTAGTAAGATTGGATATCTCTACTTTCCATATATACCAAAATTACCATAATTTTATTGGAAATAACCACCCGATAAATACTTTTCTGGGAACCCATCTTTAATGTAGTGTAGGCCATCGAAAGCATAAAAAACGAAACGGAATATAATCTGTATTTTAATCAGATAGAATCAATGTTGAAAAGGTAAGATAATGGCAAGAAAGGAGTTTTAAATTAATGATAAAAATTCGTGTAATTCAATCATCTAAGAGGTTTCTCTAGCTAGAAATGAAATGAAAATGAAATGAAATGGGGTTTAACGTCCTACTGTTTTGCTCCGAACTGGGCTAATGAAGACGGGCATACGCCATACAGTGTGCTATGAGGGAAATTTTGCCCGGACAGCGGCACTACGGCCTACTCTTATATCGAATTCCAACTGTCAAGGGATCTTTAACGTGCACGCCAATGTGTACACGGCACCTCGGTTTTTCGTCCCATCCGAACGACTAGACAGCTGTCCTTGTCAGCCCCTCCGTCCTGCATCACTGACAAGGGAGAACCACGCCGGAAAATCTGGATGAACTTACTCGGCCAATGCAGGGATCGAACACCCGACCTCCAGGCTAGTCAGCCAGCGCCTTACCCACTTAGCCACCGTGATCCCCCTAGCTAGAAATGATGAAGAGACAGGAGAATGTGGGTGTATTAAATGTGGATGCATAAAAATCAGTAAATAAGAACAAACCTTGCTATGTATTTAGATTTAGTTACAGAACCTTTACCTAAATCTTTCAAAGAAGAACTTAAATGTTGAAATGAATCCCTAGCAAGGTCCTGAAAGTTAAATAACAAAATGTTTAAAGATACATTCGGTAAGATTTAGATAAAGAGCTGATCATTCTTGCTATAATAGTTCAAAAATAGATAATGTAAAACGAAAATATTGAAAATTTCATTCAAATTACTTCATTCTGAGCCAAGTTATCACTGTTTGTAGTTTTGACAAGATGTGTGCATTGTGATAACCAGGGCACTGGTATATTCGAGACTTAGCCTCCCTTTCCACAATTTCGTTTTTTTTAATTAAATTTTTAAATGGCAAACCATTCTAATCTAATTAAAATCTCAAGTGTCTGATGCCATCGATAATTGGTTATGGTCTGGATAAGTTAATTAATGTCTAATTAATAATTTAGATAACATTTCAGGCCTAAAGAAAGACCTGTAATAGGCAGATTTAGCTCTTGCATAATGTATGTTTAATCATTGTTGTACTAATTGGATTAAAACTGTGTTTCCTGATTTAATCATGTACGACCAATTCTTTCTTTTTCCCCTTTCTCATATTTTGCATGGCAATTTTTGTTGACCTTTTGTTCAAACTTTGAGAGTTGAAAAAGAAAGTTGAATTTTTTTTGGTTTTGGTGAATATTTTTACCAGAACATTGTGACATGTTGCACTATTTGTAATTTTTATGATAAAGATCATCATCTGCATTGCTAACAAGCCAACAGTGAGGCTGATGTCCCCCGCCGAAATCCCAAAATAAATAGATGACACATATTAATTAACCAAACATTTATTTTTTTCAAAAGTATCAAGTAGTGCTCCTACGACTAGTCGAACAGTCGTAAACGGTTAGAACTGGACGGTTAAACGGTTCGAATTCGGAGATGTCCCCCATTACATGGAGTTGTGTCCGATTATATTCCTCTTTTTAACAAAACTTGCCCATTGTCATTTTGTATTTGAAGTTTGAAAATCTTAGGATGTAACAGTCTTCCTACAATGTTGACTGCTAAAAAATAATACTATTAATTGCACTCGTCGTAGTCATACGGCAAAGTCAACGGACCTTGTTCTGACGGTAGCTATTTATTGTTAATCCAATCCAAATACTTCTCGGCATTTCTAACTATATTCTACCTTGTTTATCATTTACTTAAAAACATAACCACCATTCAAAATATAATCATAAAGGCTAGAAAATGACATTATACTAGATTTGTTACGATATTCAACACGTTTCATATTTCGTAATTTCTCGCAAGAATTCTACTTTGGTTTTTAATTAAATTAACCAATCATAAAAATTCTACTTGCAAGCGAGGAATTATTTCTTTATTGTCCAATCAATATATGCCTTCCAATTTACTTTATTCTATTCTTAGTAACATTGTGTAATCGTAATATTATCGCCATCTGTCACGTACGAAGGGAAACAGAGTATTGTTTTGTATATTATCGTAGATATATATTGAATTAAAAAATGTTTCAAATGAACCAAGTTAACCAGGTAAACAAATAACTACGGCCTTAGATAGTTTAAATTTTCATTAAAGAATTGCACATGTCTATGAAAAAATTCCTGAAATTTTTGCGCGTGTAATGCCTTTTAGGCGAGTATAGCGTGTGCACGAGTAATGACTCGCACCTCCTGACAAGCTCTGTTTTATGTTTAAAATTGATGCCATACGCTTAAACGGTTACTAAACGGTTAATAGCTACGGCTAGTCGAATAACAAAAAGTCCTAACCGTAGGAGCACTAGTATCAAGCAATCAAACTGATTATCAACTATACACTAAGTTACATCACTCTCTATCAGATAGAATCAAAGTTATCTTGTCCCAAAGCATTGACCAATGAAATTGCTGAGCACTGTTTAGCTCTAGCTCGAAATGTTAATTATTGAACTCCGTCAAGACGAACATCTACATCAAGTTTAAATATTCAACCTCAATTAAAAGCAGAGCTATTATGTTCCAAAGTCTTGACCAATCAAATTGCTTATCAATCCTTAATCTAAGCAGAAAATTCTCATCATCAAACTTAGTCAAGGTAATGATACAATGAATCTATACTTGGGGTTTCATCACTCTCACTTAATTAAAACCAAAGTTATTGGCCCCCAAAGCATCAACCAATCAGATTGCTTATCTCTGCTTACCCTAAGCAGAAAAAGCTCATCTTCGAACTCCATCAAGGCATTCGCCTAATAAACACCTTCACCAAGTTTGAACGCTCTAGCTCAATTAGAAGGAGAGGTATTGTGTTCCAAAGTCTCGGCCAATCAAACTGCTTTTCGTTCTGCTTACCCTGAGCAGAAAATGCTCATTATCGAACTCAGTCAAGGTAATGAATTATTGAAACTATACACCAAGTTTCATCAATCTCACTTAATCAGAACTAAAGTTATCGTGTCCCAAAGCATCAACCAATCAAATTGCTTATCTCTGCTTACCATAAGCAGAAAATGCTCATTATCGAACTTAGTCAAGGTTATGATGTAATGAAAATATACACCAAGTTTCATCACTCTCACTTAATTAGAACTAAAGTTATCGTGTCCCAAAGCATCAACCAATCAAATTGGTGTGGTTTTCCCTTGTCAGTGGTGCAGGACGGAGGCCCTGACATGGACAGATATCTAGTTATCCGGATAGGAAGTGTAATGAAAAAATGAAATGGGGTTTAATGTCCTACTATTCGGGTCCTATACTGGGCTAGTGAAGACGGGCATCCGCCATACAGTGTGCTATGAGGGAAATTTTGCCCGGGCAGCGGCACTATCGTCTACTCTTATATCGAATTCCAACTGCCAGGGAATCTTTTACGTGCATTCCAATATATACACAGAACCTTGGTTTTTCGGATCATCCGAAAGGCTAGACAGCTGTCCTTGTCAGGCCCTCCGTTCTGCACCACTGACAAGGGGAAACCATGTCAGAAAATCTGGATGAACTTTCTCGACCAATGCAGGGATCGAACACCCGATCTCCAGGCTAGCGAGCCAGCGTCTTAACCACCTAGCCACTGTGGCTCCTATTCGGATAGGACAAAAAAAAACCCAAGGTTCTGTGCACACATTGACATGCATGTAAAAGACTCCTTGGCAGTTGGAATTCAATACAAAAATAGACCATAGCACCACTGTCCAGGCAAAATTTCCTTCACAACAAACTGTATGGCGTTTGCCCATTTTGATTAGCCCAGTCGGAGCAGAACAGTAGACGTTAAACCACATTTCATTTCATTTTTTTATTTGATCAACAATATTACCTCTCCCAATTCGGTTATTTCTTCATCTTTTTCAACTAACAAGTTTATATAGTTACTTTCTATTTCAACTTGATCTAAAGTTTCAACTTCTGAAGACTTCACTTCTTTCAACAAAAATTCCCTGATCTAAACATAAAAAATAAAAATGATGATCACAATACTAGTGTGAAAAAATGTTAACCTTTTGAACTACAGAACAGAACCCAACCCAACTATTTGTTATAGTTATCTACACAATACTGTGTTTTTGTTTACAAATGTGGAGTCACAGTGGCTAAGTGGGCAAGACGCTGGCTCAGTAGTCTGGAGGTCGAGTGTTCGATCCCTACATTGGCCGAAAAGTTCATCAGGATTTTCCCACATGATTTTCACTTGTCAGTGGTGCAGGACAGAGGGCCTGACAAGGACAGCTGTCTAGACGTTCAGATGGGACGAAAAACCGAGGTCTATGTATACATGGGTGTGCACATAAAAGATCCCTTGGCAGTTGGAATTTGATATAAGAGTAGGCCATAGTGACATTGCCCGGGCAAAATTCCCTCATAGCACACTTTTGTGACACTATTGGGTCTTTATATCAGGTTCAGGTAACAAAAGACTAGTTTAACATCTTATAATACTTTTATTCTCTGCTTCTTACAAATCACGTACAAACATCGTAATGTTAAAGACACCCAGAACTAACTTGTATTGAGGGAGCCATGTCCTAGCTTGACTAGGCACGAGTGTGCCAACTCCCAGACGCTCTCCCTCGTTCTGTCTCGTCTCGTGCCAAGGCGCCCATGGCCTCCGTTCCCTCATATCTACTTTTCATTTCTGCTTATAAACTCTTTCTAGACAAAGGATTTCAGATCAAGTCTTTAATACAGATTGCATTACCAGACAAGTGATATCTAAGAGATTATGCAGTTGGCTATTTATTGCATCACAACTCAGGCCAGGGGTCGTAAGTTATGACTTCCGCGTGGCAGTTGGCCGCGTCAGACCAGTGTCAATGTCATATTCTGATAAGGTTAATCGATTTCATGTATGGAGGGTGTAAAGTGATATTTCCTCAATTGTGTAACACTGTATGGCATACGAATGTCTTACTTAGCCCAGTCAGAGCAGAATAGTAGGACGTTAACCCCTATATCATTTTATTTACAGCACTAGAAGTTTAAAATAATGTGAAAGTGTCACCATTTTAGTACCTTTGATTTTTCTGTTGCATTACCATCTGATAGCTCCTCATTTAACATGATAACAATACTCGTTTTCATTTGATGAACTTCTGAAAATAAAATTGAATTTGGTACTTAAAGATATGTTCCCAGAAAAGTATTTAACAGGTGGTTATTTCCAATAAAAGTATGGCAATTTTGGTATATGGAAAGTAGAGATATCTAATCTTACTAGAAAAATACTGGATTCCCTGAAAAACACTCATGGAGCGTATACAGGACAAAAATGTAAGGGTTCCCCTAATCGACAGCCCGACGATTAGGAATAGATGCACGCATGACGTCGAGGGTTGTACGCGAAGAAGAGTTAGACGTACAACACTTTATGAGATAATAATCACGGAAAAAGACGCAGGCAGTGGATAATCCGAGTATTTAATTGGGATTCGATATTTGTAATAAATAGTCAGTGATTAAAGACAGCATCGTCTTGTGTATACAATGAATTCTCCTCTGACCTCTTTTGATCGATTTTTATAGCAGGGTATTCCTTGGCAATTACAATGTTTTGAGAAGGATTTGAAGCAAAATTATGATAAATTAATTAGTTTGAATGGTTTTAGCCCAAATATACAATCAAATCAACCAGTTTGTATGCGGGAATGTATCTTTAATTACCATAGTAAAACAATGTTGGTTGGATTTAAAACTTATTTACAAATTATAATGAATCCAAAGAACAGCATTTAGTTACTTTCCCGTTAAAATATTGGGAATCTGCTTGTTTTAGTAACTTAATTTAGAGACACTTGAATAAAGGACCCAACTGGAGGAATGAATTTATGTCATATGTTTTATTCTAATCACTGGAAAAATGCAACAGTGTCTAGAAATAACAATATATGTATTATATGTATAAAACATACTAATTCTAATAGTAAGTGCAGGGGGACTGCACCACAGATAATTAACACAAAAACGAAACCACAAACAAGACACAATACGCAGAAATCACAAACAAACGAACATATCAAATTCAGTTCAGATATTCAGTTTGTTATTTGAAAGTTAAAAGATACATTGTCCACGAAAATATTAATCAGGTGGTTAATTATTTCCAATAAAAGTATGGCAAATTTGGTATATATGGAAAGTATAGACACCCAATCTTACCCGATTACCCGAAAAACACCCATGGGGCAAGCACGTAAGCACTGGGCGAAAAATGTCAGGGTATAACTAACTGGCATCCCGACTGTTGTCTGCCAGTTTATTGTGTGCTAGCTTGACTGAGGGAGCAGTTGTTGTTTCTTGATCAAATGGTTAGATAGTTTTGGGAACACTGAGGGGTGTCAACGTACAACAGACTCTGCAAGTAAACGAATTAAACGTCGGAAAAAGTAGTTGACAGAAAATAATTAAGAATTTACTTAGGCCTCAATGTGTGTGATAAAGGTAGGATAAATGTACAGTAAGTAACGAAAAAAACATTCTGCAAAATGACCCGCCCCTCCTCCCCCACTTCAATGAATTGAGCTGACAGACATAAGGCTTTTTTATCGACTTGCCAAATCGATTTGAATTTAGTGGAGATGTCATGTGACAGTATAGTCGATTTCAAAGTACTTTGGCCAGTTCGTTAAATGCTCCGATTAGCTGTAAACAATTGCTGTGGCTGGACACAGTTGAAAAAAACACGTGATCACCCGATCAAATCGTCAAATTGCACCCTGAAGTGATTTGGCGATTTGATGTAATCGCTTCGGAAATCGGTGTCGATAAATTCGTTGATTAGGGTAACCAATTTGAATTAGATGGACGTTAAAGATGAAAATTTGATTGAATGCAATGCACTTTGGCTAATCAGTGGTCGATAAAAACGCCTATAGCATCTTAACAACAGTTTATTTATAGCTTCCTGTATCTCCCGACGAATACAAAATTTTGAGAGGGATTTGAAGCAAATTTTGAAAAATGGACTTTCCCTCAAATAATTGAGCTGACAAAAATGGCGTCTATACAACAGTTTATTTATAGCTTGCAGTATCTACCGACGAATAAAAAGTTTTGAGAGGGATTTGAAGCAAATTGTTGATAGATTAATTAGTTTGAATATGTTTTTAGTCAAATCATCAAATAACACAGTTTGTATGCAGGAAAGTATTTTTAAGGTTTGAACCCAGTCGGGGGGTTGAATGGCCGAATGGTTAGCACGTGCATGCTGTATCGTAAGGTCTGTCATTGAGTCAAATGGTGTGGTTTTGATTCTTTTACGTGCATGCCAATGTGTACACGGGACCTCAGTTTTTCGTATCATCCGAATGACTAGACAGCTGTCCTTGTCAGGCCCTCCGTCCTGCATCATTGACAAGGGGGAACCACGTCGGAAAACCTGGATGATCTTTCTCGGCCAATACAGGGATTGAACACCCGACCTCCAGGCTAGCGATCCAGCGTCTTATCCACCGTGACTCCCTCTCTCTCTCTCTTTGAACCAAGTTTAATTTCTAGTGTATTAGTAGTATTGCAGCATGTGAAATGAGACTGACAACAGATCATACGAACCAGAGTTTTGATGTTCAGTGTCACTGTGATCTACTGATTCTAGTGTTTGTATCTGATTTAGTAAATATTTAACTGTTGAATCATCATCTGACGTAGGAGAAACCTGAAAATACAACAAATATACATTCATGTTCATAATTCAACAATTAATTTTATCATATACTCTTCAAAAAAAGCAGGGGATATTGAAATGCAAATACCTATGCAGGTTATGATATGATAAATAGTCATAGACATTTGACATCCTTTGAGAGTTTGTTCACAGATGAAGAACTTATCCCCCAGCAGAACCACTGAGCTGCATATGCTGGTTTATCTATCCATGTTTGCTTTCATATCGGTTCTTGCATAAGATTTACTGTTTAGCGTATCTTTGCTTTAGTGTGTTATGTTTAATTTGATCGGGAGACATGTTCGTCGACGTCAACGTCCACCGACAACACGGCAAGAATTGGCCGTGGCACTACAAGAGGAGTGGGTCAGATTGAACGGTTGATTAGGAGCATGCCACAACGAATAACTGAATGTCTGAGGATTGGTGGAGCAATTACTCATTATTAAGACAAAATTCAACCAGCGGCTGCCAGGCAGGATATGCCCACATTTTCGAGAGATGGATAGAGAACAAGATAAAAACGCGATTTTTCATACAATCAGGGGCCATAATTCAGGAAGTTACGGTCCAATATGCGCAAATATCAAAAGGAACTGAGATCTTTGGGTTATAAACATACATTTCAAGTTTCAACAAAATCGGATAAAAATTGTGACCTCTATAGGGTCCACAACCTTGATATACCATATTTTCACGCTATTTGAGAATGAACAGCGGCCATTTTGTCTTTCAATTTTGGGCCGATTTTCACGAAATTTGAACTCAGCCGTCCTTAGGGTGTAATGGTGATATAATAATACGTTTTTTTAAATCGGATAAAAATTATGACCTCTATAGGGTCCACAAGCTAAAAACGTGATTTTTCGTACAATCAGGGGCCATAATTCAGGAAGTTACGGTCCCATATGCACAAATATCGAAAGGAATCGAGATCTTTGGGTTATAAACTTATATTTCAAATTTCAACAAAATCAGATAACCAGCGGCTGCCAGGCAGGATACGCCCACATTTTCGAGAGGTGGATAGAGAACAAGCTAAAAAGTAAGCGATTTTTCGTACAATCAGGGGCCATAATTCAGGAAGTTACGGTCTGATATGCGCGAATATCGAAAGGAACTGAGATCTTTTGGTTATCAACTTACATTTCAAGTTTCAACAAAATCGGATAAAAATTATGACCTCTATAGGGTCCACAAGCTACAAACGTGATTTTTCGTACAAACAGGGGCCATAATCCATGAAGTTTCGATCCGATAC